TGTAGGCAGGCATTTCCTGACAACACAATGCAAATTTGGCACACTGCACTATCATAACACCTGTCCATAAGAAAAGCGTCACAACAGCACGTGACACAAGCCTGTTTTTTTTTTTTTTCAAAGTGAAGCAAAGAGCAGAAAAACAATGGCATCCTCTGAGATGTTTCAGTAATTCCTGAAACAAGGCATTCTGGTCAGGCTGAACACTGAGCATGAGTTCAAGTGAGTGTGTGCCGTCTCCCAGACCAGAATGTGGTAAAAAGGAACAGTCACATGAATGTGATCCGTGCTCAGGCTCAGGCTTAGGCCCTAATTATATGGGAAAAGAGTGTGGTGTGACAGCTATGGCGGGGATTGCGGTTGTGTCCTAAGAGACTGCAGCTGACCCTGCGGAGAAGGAAAAGGAGAGAAAGTGAGAAAACATAAAGAGACGACATGATGAGAGCAAAGAAGTACAGACATGAGGAGAGGAGAGGAGAGGAGAGGAGAGGAGAGGAGGAAAAAAAAGGCCTAAAAATGCATGGGACAAAAAATTAACATATGTGTGTGTGTGTGTGTGTGTGTGTGTGTGTAAGTGCAATAATAGTGAGTGGGGTTAGCTGTGGAGTCAGACTGTCCTATGTGTTGCTGCTGAGTAAGGCCAGGGGCTTACAGGAAGGATTTAAAGAGCCACAGCAACACCACAAAGCACCAGGAGGAAGGGGGTTGCCCAGCAGGGGCCAGGGGAGGGAGGGCAAGCGGGGAGAGGGGCGAGCTGGCTGGAGCGGCTACTCTGATCAGGATCCATTTCCAGCCTGGGCCTTGGAATTCCTTTGTTCCTGTCACAGGTCTCCGTTTCCCTCTCGCCTTAATCCCAGCCAGCCTCACGCCCAGTAACACAGACCAGGGCAGGTAACTCTGCCACAGGCATGCCTCTCTATTTACAGACCAGTCCCCACATAACAGCCACACATATAAATAGTGATAGCTGAGGTAGCACTGAGAAGAAACAAGGTGGGTTAATACAGGTTGCAACTACAAAATAACTTGTGACACAGTTGTGTCTTGAGAGGGGAGCTGTGTACTGTCTCAGTAGGAGACTGAAAGGTTGGTAACGATTGATTCTTTCTAAAATGAACAGCACCAAAACAGACATGCAGGGGTTTATATATTTGTGCACAGAAAATCTCACCTCTTGACCAAAACGTGTTTCTCAAGTTAGATAAACTATTTTAGCTTGGGGCTGTAGGCCTTCAAATGGTCAAAGAAGCCAAACAAAGCTAAATGTATGGCAGGGCAGAGCAAAAATTAACCATCTCCCTTGTAGTCCCTGCACATCCTCCACATTCTTCATTGAGAGGGAGATGGTCATTCGTAAACACATTCTCCAAGAGTAAAGCTATCCAGCAACACTTGTGCTTTTCTCGCAATGGCCGTGGCCAGGCTGCCTTAAGCCCCCTTCATAGGCCTGCCAAGAGGAGTCAGTGGTACACTGTGCAGCACTCGCAAAGCCCTCTCCCACGGCTATTAGTGACCATTCATCTGGGGAGCCTGGGAAAATGCCTCTCCAGCCTGCCGTGGCCATGGGGAAACAAGCTGGCAGGTGTTCCCTCCCCCTAAGTCCTGGCACCTGTGCAGGGAGAGGAAGAAGGAACCAGCTCTGCCATGGGCTCAAACAGACCCTAGGTACCAGTTTGTCAGAGCTCCTCTAACCCCTCTGACTGGTAGGAAGAGTCTCAAATGCCAGGCTAAACTATACCTGAGCTCTGTCTCACATGGAGAGATCAATGTGGCTATATCAATACTAATAGTAGATGCATGACATCTGGTAATGTGCTTTGGCAATTTGAAATGGCATGTTAACTAAATCCGTGTAAAATGGGACTTCTCAGTTTACACTCAACCCATACACACAAATATATACACTATTATGGGCTACAAAATCAATATTCCATTGAATAAAAATAATACTGGAACAGCTTAGTGCACAATCAGTTGTAGAAGTAAACAAGATCTAATCTAATGAGAAAAAGGGAAAGAAAATATATAACAAACAATCTAAGAAAGTCTGTACAGCATGTTGTGTTGTCCAAGACATCTGACATGAGCAGAACTCTGCGGAAAACAATCTTCATGAAGATAAATGTGACACTGTCTTTGTCATAGAAGATAACCACCAGCTTCCTTACTCAAATATCATCTTGAATGACAAAAATGTATTCCTCAAAGCACAGAGAACCTATTATCCACTCATTTTCAATCTGTAATTACTCTGAGAAATGTGGGTGTGTTCAACACAGTCCACCAGTGAGAAATGCATGAGGCCTCTCCCAAGCTCCCCTTCCCTGGACTTCTAAAGTCTAGCATGTCCATTCTGCATGGCCAGAGCCAAAATGTTTGGTGGGAAAAGTTCCCTCTGTTCATCTCTCTAAAAACATAAATAAATCACATCACTATGAGCTAATCATGAAGTCTCAAGTAGCCTGGGTAAAAATTGAGGGAGGTGGGGGCTGACAGTTGGAAATTGGCTTCTGCAGCTGAGATTTTAAGAAATGGCTTAGATTTATGTTGGCAGAAGACATGGGATAAGTCGCTCTCTGACATGATCACTGAGCGCTGTACACACACATACACCAACACAGCATATATACATACGTACAATAACCCATAGAGATAACTCAAATACAAACACTTGCACTGAAGAGCCTTGGAATGCTAAAAGCTGTTGATGGCTCATTTGAAGTGCCAACAGCTGAGGCTGTTACGCTGTTCTTTCTGCTGTCTGTTGGCGGAAGCACTTGTGATTTCACACTGGCACCAACTCAAACACCGCCTCACACAAGACCCACAATCCCCCTCCCACACCATCCCACACATAGCACCACAGTCCATCTGCCTATTCTTGGCCTAGACATCAGTACTACTCCGCCTGACACCTTTCTCTACATACGTCAACAGCCATGTATACATGTTCCAGCACATACACGTCTCAATCCAGGATATCCAGCTTGACTCTACTGTCAAATAACAAAATGCTGCACACAGACACAAACAGTTGTAAATAAGTCTTCTGCTGAAACAGAAAACCAGCTTCCTCTCCCTGTTATGGACGGTCTGGGAGTTCTGTGAGGATTAGCAGGTTAGCGTTTGACCTGCTTGCAGAAAAGACGACCCCAATACTTAATACCCACCCTGAGGTTTGCTGGGCTTCCCTCCCTAAGCCTATAGTCAGTCCTCCCCTTTTTATGGCTCCTGCCTGCCTGCTCACTTCTCACAGTCACAGTCTCCACCTTTACTGCTCTGCCGCCTCCCTCACGCGGGACAATGAAAAGACCAAGAATGTCATTACACTCACTTAAGACCTTTAATAGGACTAGAACACATGAACTGTGTTGGCTTGTTCGAGGCGCTATACCTTTTCATGTTCTGCAAGGGGAAAATTCTCTGATATGGTATGGAGTCAAGTTCCACTGGTTCCATTCTTTTTGGCAAAGCTGCAAGGAGCTTAATCATTTTTACATGCATATTTCGCTGCTGAAATACTGATAGTCCCCTTGTTCACACAGTGGAGTGAATTTGTGCACTTAATTTGTGCGTGTGTGTGTGTGTGTGTGTGTAGCCTCAGTCTGTGAACTCCATCATTAGAGATGTCTGTCTCTCTTCAGTCTGTCATGGGGAATATGAGTCAGGCTTTTCAGTAACCTTACACTGTCAGCCTGTTCACACCTAGCCCAGGGGGAGGATATATCTCTCAAACACACTGTCGCTCTTCTGATTCTCATTGGCACTGGTATATGAGCACCTGTGTATATGCCCATAAACATGTATGCAACGTGCATCCATTTGCTATTGTTTATCACAAAAATGACCAAAGTTGCTACATCAGAGCATGAAAACAATGAATGGATGTTAAAACTAAGCGTGCGTGTGTGTGTGTGTGTGTGTGTGTGTGTGTGTGTGTGTGTGTGTGTGTGTGTGTGTGTGTGTGTGCATGCATGGGGGGGGTAGCGTGAGAGGCAGAGCTGCAGCCGCGGGAGAAACTTTATGGGGCCGACTGCCCTGTAATCCCACTCTCACAGTAAGGACTGCCCTGCTGAGTGAGCTTGGTTTAACTGCCCTTAACTGCTACCTGTGACAAACCTGTCTGTCCTACAGCACGCAGCTGGAGGTTCCTCTGATGCTAGGCTTACAGTGCTTCAAAGGCATGTGTGTGGGTGGGTGGCTGGAGGAACATACTCACATTCGGGGATGAATTGAATTGGCTTATTCACATTGGTGTATAATTGATTGATTTTTCTCTCTGTGTGTATGGTTGGAGGTGCCACAGCAGCTGTTTCTGATGTTATTCACCTAACTAAAAGTTTAGATAAACACAGGTGTGCCAAAGCCATATCAAGCAGAAAGGCAACAAGTGCGAGTCATTTTAATAAACTCACATCTTGCATGTCCAAATGCATCTGAGACGTGCCAAGTTAAACTGTGCTACACAATATAAGAACTCCTATCAGCTTTTGCCTTCACAGGTCACACCCTGGGCGTAGAGAGCCACCGTGTCCCAACTAGTTCTGCTGTCTTTCCACCCACACTCTCATCAAAAAGGTAGCCATTAAATAATTTTTGGACTGTTTTGTAACTCCGTTTCAAACTCTGCTCACATATTTCAATGGTCCACCTACATGCAATGTCTCTGTTCTGAAGTCCAAATGAGTAAATAAAGGGTATAAGCTCAAAGCCAAAGAAAACCATCTGACTTATTCAAAGGTTGATGATAGACACACCTAAGAAAAAGAAATCAAAGACAAAGATGACTTCATTCCGCAGGAATGAGAAAGAGTGAAATCAAAACAGAATAAACCTAACTTGTAGTCGTGACCGTATAACAGTTTAAACTAATTTTCCATGTAAAGACAAGAAGAAGCCAGTAGCATGTGCCATAATGGATCACAAAATTTTTATCATGATAAATATTGGGCTACTTGACTCTAGAGTAGTGTAACAAGGATCACAAGATGGTGTGTCACCTTTCACAAAAAAGGCTGAATCAGGTGCCAGCTCCTTCTTCTGTTTGGGCTGTCCTCTGTTGTGGAGAAACTCTCTGTACTGGTTAACCCTCTGGTCCACAGAATCTCGAACCAGGTTTGTAACCTCCTGTAAACAGAGTGCTAATATTTCAGTACAGCAACTTTGTTGAACTGTTAAGAGAACACAAGTTTTGATTTGACTTCACAAGTGAAGAACAATGATGAGAAGAGGCCAACAACAGGACAGCACAAGTCTCAAGTGAAAGGAGAGTACGGCAACTCAAGTGGCTGGCAGAGAGATGGGAACAGTTTTGCAACAATGAAAAGAGAGAAGGCTCAAAGTCATTTTAGATTCTACGCTGCTGCTGTCTTTTGAAAAGGCCCCCTGAAGAACAGAAGCCACATATTCACTCACACACATATTCACAGGCACACCCTACTCCCTGTGTCTGTACCTCGATGTGGTCCGTAGTAAACCAGCTGGCGTCCTCTTGGCCGCCCAAGGGCACTACGTGGAGATCCACCAGCACAGCAAAGTTCCCACACTGTAACACAAAGAGGAAAGACAGCCACAGGTTGCTGAGGGGCATTGAGCTCACAGGCAACAAAGGAAATCAGAGTGTGGGTGATTGACAGCGAGACAAACCACAACGACCCCCTGTGTCCTCAAACATCACCCCAGGCCTCTCACAGCAGTCCCCTCCCTCCTGTTTCTCTGTCTAGCCATCTCTCTACCAATCTCTTTACAAAAAAGTATGGCCCTGTCCGTCTCCTCATATTTCCCCTCTCTCAGCACAAAAACCATTTCCCTATTCTATAAGGTTTGCAATACATTCACAGCCTCAGGTTACAATAGGCTGCAGAGAAAAAAAAAGTCTAAAAGATGTACCACATAAATGGGGATTATCCTACTTTGCATCAGAGTGGTAATAAAACTCCACAGATTTACCATTTTTACCCCTTTGAGTGCTTTAGCAAGCTAGAAGAAAGGCTGCAGAGTGGATTCCTAAAGCACTACGTCCTTGTCTCAGTGACAATAAGCTACAAGGGACAGGAAGGCCAGAAATGCCGCTGCTGGTTAAGTTGCTGTTACATCTTTCTCAGGCTGGCCTGATTATGGTTTACACATGAGTGCAAAAGCTGCCCGCTGCAGAGAGCAAATGGATGTAGGTCTCGTGTGAACTTCGCCTCTCACTGGACAAGGAAGTAATGGATGGACTGAGACCACCCACAACACGACACAGAGGAGCAACAAGTACTACCCTAAAACCCAAAGTGATAATGCAGCAGAATGCACTGAGCTGAATTGGGGTAGCAAAGGCAGCACAGAGTTACAAAAAGGAAAAATCAGATTTTAGGCTCACACTGAAGAAAAGGGAAAAGAGTGTATACCAACAGAAGAGGTTATTAACTTAGTAACAAGGAATACTTGTTTTATGTCAGGCTCATCCCCTAAGCTAAAAAAAAAAAAAAAATCACAGACGGGATGACTAAATTGTACAATCCAGACTTAAGAGATCTTCCTATGGCCCTGCTCTCAGGATGACGTGAGAGAAAAGAATTAACAGGGTGTATAGGGGAAGGCCCCCCTCTATTTGAGCCCCAGTTCTGGACATCAGTCTACACTGCCCAACTCCAAACATAGTCACCTCCTCTTTTTCAAAAAAAGACTTTGGTTTTCTCCTTCATCAAAGAAGGAGACTGCTAAAGTTTCATCTACTGTTATAAAACTGAAGTTGGGCAGTGAACCTTTTGTCAAATGACATTAAAGGGCTACATTCTGGCTCTGAGCAATCATGCTACCAAGTATTTTGCATCATTTTTTTCCCCATGAGAGCATTATCCTGTCTTGCCGTCTTTTTGTAAACAATAAATGAAATGAAGCTGCTTCCTTACCTCTACTTGCAGCTCAACAAGAGGAGAGGGCGCCCCCATATGACTGATCAGTGAATGTTTCTAAAAGAGTCTAAGCTCAGCCATGTCTTGTACTGTTCTTCTGCAGAACATATCCAGTCCTAAAGCTCTAATGCATATCAGCTCATACTAAAATATGCATCTGCATCAGTATAACCAAGACTAATGCAAGCAAGACAGAGTACAAAAAGTCCAAATTTCAAGATACAATACCCGCAAATAGAACCATGGCAAAAAAGGAAAAAAAAACATAAACACTGTTATACAAAACCATGCTCTCACAAAGACAAGAATGTCATGGACCAGAAGAGAGGCCCACGTAATGTGCCAGCTCCTCATGTATAAAATGTGTGCAGTATTGCCTGTCAGCTCGTCCCTACAGATCAGCATTCTCTTCATCCTCTGACCTTTGTCTCACAGCGGTCCACCAATGACTGGTGGCCTCCCACAATTACCCGTGTGTGGTAAAGCCTAGCAACAGAGGGTCAGACCTTGTCAATCAAAACACAGAGCCAAACTAGCGGACTTGACACATGCAGAATACATTTTTGGTATACCGATTTTAGTTTCTGACTTTTCAGACCTAAGAATGGCTTTGTGGATGATTATAGCAATTCTAGCAGTATGCATAAGCGAGCAGATTTTTAGGAAAAAGGGTCCTGTGATAAATCCTTAACCTATAAAGTCAATTGATGGTATTGGTGCAGTATTGGATTCAAATGTTTATTATTATATTATGTTTCCCTCATGCACACAAATCCCAACAGGAGCCACAAGATCAATCCTCTAGGTTAGATGGCTCTAAGTTACGCAAGATGATCAAACTCTAAAGAGCGATGCAAGGTTAATTTGCTAAAAATCTGAAAATGAAGAGAGCTGTACAAGGTCTGGCGTGTGACGCTTGCGGTGAGGCGCTGTATTGTGAATCGCCTAACATGGTTTCTGTGATTGAGTCTCTGTTTTGGGCTTAAAGCCAGACATCTCGCAAGCTTTAGACTAACTTCCTTTTATCACATTAGGACAGCAGACAAGACTCGACTGGGAACTGGACGTTAATGATAAACAGTGGTCTGCCCCTTACACAAACAGCATGTGATTCCGTCGGCTTCTCAGAAATGGGGGATTTTGTCAGGAATGCAAACTAATGCAATTATCCTAATGAGAAACCAATTAATTTGTCCGGCAAAAGTGCAAAATTGGAGTGGGGACAACTTTGGTGGAAAAAGTGTCAATCTTTGAGTCAAGACTGTGCTGTTTAGGTGCTGCTACTAGCGTTTCTAGGAAAGACATTTGTATTGAGTGGGGTAGATAAGACAAAACAGCAGCAGAATCTAATTTTACACAAAGGCTCTGACTACAATCACATCATGTGGTCTAAATTTGTCAACTCTCTGCACAAAGAGCAACCAGTGGATCTCTTGGCTGAACTCTGCCATGAACTCTGACCTTTGTGTATGCCCTTTAAGGCCCGGCTATGGCCTCTCCTTAAGTGAGATCTCTGTAAGCAGCCTAATATTTTAGAGATGCAGCAATGAACAGCAACAACCTTCTCTTTGTTTAGCAAAATCTGAAATCAGCTCAAAAAATCCAACTTGAGTGTTGAAAGGGTAAAAACCGAAAACAGCAATAAAAACCTCCAAAGCAGTCTTATCAGAAAATATACCATATAATTTATCGACACCATCTTTGCAGTATCATACCCAAAGCCCTAAAGAATTTCATCACATCTGACATAATTAATTAACAGATTCATGAGCTATTCTCCTGTATGTAGTTTGATTTGACACATTTAAGGCAATACTCGAAGCAACTGTCACTGTTGTTGGAAAGAAAGGTCTGATAAAGGGCCAAGTTCTAGAGGAAGTTACTCTTTTCATACTTACTAAAGTGGGCCAGCACTGCTTTGTTCTCTGCTTTGCACAGGCTTTTTGGAGTTATGAACAGAGGCTGAAGGCTGAACGAGAGGCGGCAAGAAGTGCTACTTAATACCAAATCCTTTATTGTGCCATCTTTTGTGTGCGTGACACAGTGAATGAATAGGACTGAGTCTTCCTGCAGGCTAAGCTCAACTTCTATATCCTAAGTCTCCCTGCTGCCAAACAGATAAATATTACCTGCAAGAGAAAAAGGTTAACAGACAAAAACATTAGAAACAGAGACTAAAGATGCCCACAGTCCACAGCATGAGCAAAATCCTTCATATTTTCTGTCTGTAAATAAACAAATCCTGACTCAAACCTACTGACGGCTCCTTTGCTTTTTGTAGTCTTCAGAGCTCTGGTCTATATCACTCTCAGTTCCCAAAACACTCTCTACCTTCCCTTATCTCTCTCCCAGACCCGGCTCTCCATCCTCCCGCCTGTGCTGCTCAAAGTTGGGCACGGGGCCCAAACTCTACGAGCAGCTTCACCCGCCTCCCCACCTCGCTGCCCTTTGCCATTGCTATCGCGCAGTATAAGAACCAGACCTTCTCGGACTGCACTTAGCTCAGAGGCTAACACTAACCAGCCACAGATGTTTACATTGGGAGAAAAGGGGCAGCAGATGCGGTCTCACTCAATAAAACTTGCATCTCTCCCACTCTCCCTTTGTCTCTCTCTTTTTCTGACTCTCTTTCTGCAAGTCTGCAAAGAACCCAGGGGAGCTCTTTAGATCTGTGGGTGTGACAACCTTGCTCTCAGGCTTTATTTGCCTCATTCCCAGCTCTGTCTGTGCTGTGAGTCACCTGGGTTTCCCCTTAAAAAAAAAAAAAAAAGGAAAAGAGAAAGAAAAGAAAACTCTCTTTTCCAGTTTTTCAAAATGCCAGATACTGAGCACTAAAACTTGGGACTTTATTATTACTGAGGCAAATGTTATTTACAGATAGTGAGCGGAAGTTTTTTGTGTACAAACCTCCCTTCATTCAGGTGAATGTTAGCACACCTGAGTCCTCTTTATTTGATGATAAAAAGAGACACAACCCAGGACTGGAATTCCAGCAGCAAGAACAGACAGGAATATCTCCAGGTAACACTCAGCAAACAAAGCTCAGGCAGACACATCCTTGAGAAATGGTAGATAGACAGAAATAGCAAGCTGCGAAGTGTTTTGCCTCATTAGGTAATGTGAATTCTGTATGACAATGTAGGGCAGTGCTGAGATGAAAGGGCGGCGGGGGGGGGGGGGTTTACCCATGTTGATGTCTTTTGTGAGGTTGGAAAGGGTCAAAATGTTTCTGATCAGACAATGCAATGATTTTGAACAGAGGCATGATGTGTGGTCTGTTATGAGCTCATCTACACAGTGACAACAACACTAAACAGCACATAAACCTCTGACATTAAACTGCTCTGTAATACCTCAAATTTTTTATTCTTAAAACACTTGGGTCTCTTGTCTGAACCTACTACATTAGATGGTTAGAAAGTCAGCAGTGCATACTGCTAATAGAAGGCAGATTGCAGGGCTCTGCAGTAGTAATGTCCTGGCAGACAGCAAGCGCTTCAGTGGATCAGTGTTTTAGCCTGCAGGCCCTTTTCGGGAGGTCTGAGAAGTGGCAGGTCACTATATAGTCTAAGCCTATTTAAGAAGGAGCATACCAGCACCTCCTGCAGTTCCACAGACCATGGAGGGAGCTGCTTTGAAAACATTTCAGGAGAAAGGACCATAAAACACTCTGCTGAACAGCCTACTAAGCATGGCATGGTGAATCCAAGAACATAACTCATAATTGCTTTGATAATCCTCGCTCACTGTGCAAGCCAGCAAACAGAGTTTGCAACATGCCTCTGTGAATGCAATGTCTCTGCGCAGATTTTTGGTCTTTGATATTCTAAGAAGTTAATTAATTCACTTAAAAACATGGTGGTAGGGGTGTTTGTTTTGCGAAAGAGAAGCCATGGATAGCGCCTTGAATGCTATTGTTTGGACTGATCCCTTCTAACATACTTGTTTGTGGTTAGTTGGTTAAGCATGGTAGAGGCTGTGTGCATTTTCTCAGGCAGAGTAACACAACAGTATCATTATGTGCCCAGTGGGAAGGAACCTTCCGTGAACCTCCAGGGTTTTACTCTCCCACAACCAACTGAGGGGGGTGGTGGGGTAGCCTGTATGCAGGCATGCATATGAAACAAATAAAAGGGAGTGAATGCAATATCTGGTCAACTAGGCACACATGGCATTACGGAGGATGTGAGAGATCAGCGCAAATGTCTGCAGTCCTCATCCAAAACTCTCAATAAATGAAACATCAACAAAAGAGAGACCAGCGGCTTTCCCTGTACTTAACAAAAACATCTGATGTGCATTATTACTGACAGAGCAACAGACTCAGGATGAACAGCTTGGCTTTTTAATAGAATGACTTGCCTCTGCACTGTATTGTTGCACCCATTAAGAAAAGGCTCTCTGGAAGTAAGATGAGACTTGCAAAAGGTGACCATAAATTACAAATAACTTTACCTAAAGAATGAACGACATCCTAATGTAGCGTTAGGACAGTTGAAACATGTATCTGTACTTCCCTCTAGTGGACAAATAGTTTGCTACTGAGAAGAATAAAGCAAGTACATGCAGGAAAGATAAGATATTGCTGCAGAATTAATACTGCAAATGCTACAAAAGAAAGCATATACTGAATTCCTATGTTGCATATCTTCCACAACTTCACAACAGTTTTTCAGTGGTTCAACACAGACCACAAGACCTCATGGCGCTTGCTGGAAGCAGTGTCTGTAGCTGCTCTACTGTTTGGCATTAACACAAACATAGATGGTTGTTTATAATGACAGCTGAAAGGCTCTAATAAAATGCAGATTCATCTTATTCTTCAGTTTTTCATGTGCATTTCATGTGGGGGGAAAATGTAGTTCAAAGTAATTACGTGGGTATGTGGTCAGAGAAAAGTACACAGTGTTTTTGCTTAGAAATAAAATATTTTCCAAAATATGACAATGATGTTCACAAGACACCAATATGATCAGCATGCCATTAAGATTACTTTTGGTCACCAGGTTATTCTGATTTAATCTCCCTTTGTTAAACATGTTCATGACAAACTAAACACACACACACAAAATAATTGTACCAGTTTTTCCAATGGCACATGGGTACAGCACTAAATAAAATTTACCAAGAAAGATTTTTGAGCAAGTTCAATTAAAAAATGTACAATTTGAAGTCATACTGACAAATACATTAGATAGAAATGCTGAATTAAACATAACAGTGTTATATGTTGACATTGAATTTGTTTTTTAGCTGTTGTATTCAAATTCTTTCATATTTGTTAACTCTCTAAAGTACTAAAACAAAAACTGGTATTGCAAGTCAAAACTGAACATTAGAACACAATGTTTTTAAATAGTAAAAAAATAATAAAACTGTTATTTTAATACCAACCGCACTGCACCACAAAAGTCAGCAGAGTGAGTATTTTGTTTACACATACCTTAATGACAAATTTGATCGGAGCCATTGCTGTGATTACAGCAGTCTGTCAGTTTCACCTGAAACAACACAGTCATGAATTACACATGATAGCCTACAACACTGTCATATACTAAAGACAAACTTTAACACTAGTTGTCCAACTAGCGGATGTTCTGCTTTTATCAACTGTATTTACAATTGTTATCCTCATGTTGAGTACAAATGTGCATTTTATCATGATCTTTGGAGCACTTTAGACTTGCTGTTTTAAAATTAGATATATATATTTTTTTTTTTTTTTTAATTTTTTTTTTAATTATTATTTAATTTAATTTAATTTTTTTACTGTCTTAACACATAAATTATTTATGATGCCATACACTCAAAAGTGATATGCAGATACCTGCATATCACTTTTGAGTGTATGGCATCATAAATAATTTATAGAGATATTTGTTAAATATTAATCCAACCAATGGGTGATCTGAGGTGGCTACAGCCACCTCAGACTAAAGTCTTGCCACCCTTGTAGACATCCCACACAACCAATAATGGCCCATCAGATGACTACATATGTACCTGAGTATGAAATTGTACCTGAGAGCTATGAAATTTGAGATCTAAATATCAGATAATTGTCAATCACAATACCATGAAAACTGAAGTAAACTGTATTGGAAACTACCAATATTTTTAAATTTGTGTAATTGTGTTGCAATACCATTTGATTCCTTTTTGATAAATTCAGGGGTATCTTATTAAGACAAAGCCAATAATACATCTTACTGAGCTCATGATTTGTTGTAGTCTGCACTAGACTACTTTGCAAGGGCATTTAAGTGATTGAAATTGTGTATTGTAATAGATAAGTTGCATCATCCGCATGTAAAATAAATTCAAAACCCTAATGATATGTTCTTAAATATTTGGTATGTCTGAGTGTGGCATGTATAGTCTGGCCTAGGTCTATCCCAGTAAATAACCTGGGGTATATAATGACTTAGCCAGACTGTGCTTGGAGTATAAAACAGGCTAGCCCTCTTTGACCTAAGTATATTCTGAGCAGAGGGCATATCTTTATCTGTTGCACCAGGTTTATTGAGAGTTACATTAAATAAAAAAAAAAAAAAACACGTTTTAATGTGTACGAGTTCTTACCTAATTTTGAATGGCGATGTCTGCAGTGAGTGGCCAAAAAACTGACTTTTGGGAGTGAAATAAAATTGACCACTAATTGTGCCCCTCAAAAGTGAGCAATGGTCTCAGTCTTGCCTCCCCTATGAAAACTGTCCGACTGCGCCACTGCTGAGACACACGAAAAGAAACAAGACAGACGGTGATCTTTCTGCAGTCGTTTACCTTGACAGGTGATAAAGTTCGTCCCTTGTTCATGGGCCTTTATTACAGTTACAATATTTTAGCTGTACTTTAGCTGCTCTTTCGTAACGTCCCTTACGTTACAACAGCTAGTTAAAGTCCATACTAACTTGTTAACCGCCAAACTAGCTGATGGCATCGAGTTCAAATCATTTGAGGTTAAGCTCACAAGGCGAATGATTATCGCTAACGGCTCTAACGTTAAACCGCCATTAGCAAATCGAATACACTGAACACAGCAAATCTATAGCGAACAATACATTCGACATAACGCTGTGTAAGTGCAGGAGGCAAACAAAGTAAACATCAAGTTTTCAAAGATTTCATACCGCCAATAGTTTTGAATGTTTGTCAAACTGGAGGGCTGCAGGAGATGACGTTGCATCCCGTTTGTAGTCCAACAACTGCAAAGCTAGTTTGGGTCGGAGCTTTCAGCGGATGACGTCTGGGGGGAACAAAATGGAAAATGACAAGTAAGACAATCGAGCCACTGTCTCTATCTTGTTCTCTGTTATAAAGCGAAGTAGATATAGTTTTAGCTTGATTAGATACAGTTATAGCAACAATTAGTAATCACTAGCAAGAGCATGCGACAGGTCGCCGAATAGGACCCGACGCTGTTTCCGCTACCATGGAAACTAGTCGTGTCTTTGCGAAGCCTGTATTAATCTCTACACTTTACATTGTCAAATTATATCTAAATATGCTCTTTGTCTTACAAAGTCAACTATGATGTGATATTTACGCAGTTTTATGGGTTTTTAAATAAAAATGATAAAGACTTCCCTCAAAAGAGTTTCAATTTTGGTCAGGCAATGACATAGGTATCACTACCCGAGTCGTAGCCATCCAAAGCGCTTTAAAGAAGCAAAGGTTTTGTTTTCTAGTTTTCTATCAAATCCCGTTTAACTGACAGTCTAAATTGAAGCTATGATCGTTTATAACGCGTCTTACTGTTGCCAATCAAAATTGAATCTAATATTGGATGACTTAAGTCATGTTAGCTTCAACATCGGACCCTAAAGTCAAGCTGTTTTGTAAGCGCTTCGAGAAACTGCAGCTTCAATGATGTCTCGACTCGTCAAGAAATCTCCGTCTCTTTGCACGGATCTACCACTGGACACCACGGACATTTGTAACAAGCTTAATTTGCTGAGGCAGCTTCTGAGGTCTTGCTTTGGTCCCACAGCTAGACTGAAACAAGTTCATAACAATATTGGTGGGCACGTTGTAACCACCTCATCCTCCTCGGTGCTCCTTCCAGCCATTTCGTCCTCGCAGCCTTTCATCAATCTGATAAAAACCTCCATTCTCAACCACGTCTCCCGTTTCAGTGACTTTGGTTTGTTTGCTGCCATTTTTTGCCTGGCTCTTATTGAGCAAACAAAGCAGTCTGGTCTCAGAGGAAATGTGGCTATCAGAGTGAACAAGCACTTGCTGGCTCTGTGCTCCAGTTACCTTCAAGGAGAAGACTGTGGTTGTAAAGTGAAGCTCGACTTCTGCAGCAGCCACAATCTGATCACACTAGCTCGGAGTATTATCTCCAGCAAACCAGCATGTGTGCTAACAGAGCCGGAGACGCTGCACATCAGCAAGTTGACAGTGCAAGCTTTCCTGCTGACTGTGCCCTGTAGCAGCCCAGGTACAGTCAGCCTTGGCAAAGTAGTGACTGTCACTGTTGAGGGCTATTCTGTGCTGAACTCTGCAGTATTTCCAGGTTTATTGGTGGACATGCCTGACGGATTATGCCTCAACAAGGTTAACTATCTGTCAAATCCGCTGCAAATGGTGCTGTTCAGTTCATCTCTCGCTGGGGACCTTTCTGAATTAGGAGACGGGATGATAGAGGTGCACCCAAGCGTGGACACAGAGTCACAGATTCTGGATCAACTTCTGGAGCTTGGAAAACAGGTGGTTGCAGATGAGGTGAAGCTCTTTGTATGCCAGAAGGTTGTCCACCCAGTCTTGCAGCAATACCTGAGGAGCCATGGAATCATAGTGGTAGAGAGAGTGGGAATCACTGTCATGGAGCCACTTATTCAGCTGACAGGTGGGTCATCATTGCAAATTTTGTATTGTGCACACGAGTACCAGCTAAACTCAGAAGAGTTTAAAGATTTTTTTCTAGTTGTATTTCTAGTCAGTAACTGATATAGTATTACACGAATAAGAATATGTCTTTCATTCAATGCACATTATACACACCAGCTTCACACTGGAATAATAATGTACAGTGTCAAACAAAGTGTCCACTGTCCAAGAAGAATACACCGGTACGTCGTAATTTCTCTGCTCTGTACCTTAGATCGTGTTTTGTGTGTACTTTGACAAAATAGGAGCTCATCCGGTGGCCACATTACATGCCAAAATCCCACCCAAGGCCTATGGAAAGGTACAAGGGCTCAGCATGAGGCAGTTTGGATCCAAGACAATGCTGCATTTACAACCTCTGGGGGAGTCAGCGATCTGCACTATGGTCCTCTGCCACAGGAATGAGACAATGTTAAGTGAGCTGAAGGTAAGATAAAGTGGATGTTGGGGGGGAGTTAAAGAAAGTTGGATAAAGAGATGAGCTGCCACAACATTAGGTTTTCAATACACGATTGTCATGGCTAAAAGAACTCCCAATAAGTATATAATTTGGATATGGGTTATTCAGGATTTGGTTACCCACGCACAGAAAGGATAAACCATGCTACCTGTTACATCTTAGATTCAGTTCATACGATCACGTGGATCTCACTTGCTACTGCTAGTACTTACAGTCCCCACTATATATTATTCAGTAAATCAGAACTGCTGAATAATACATGGCCCCATAAAGCTCACTTGTTAGAACGTTTCACTAACGCAGCCAGGGGAGAGATTCAGCTTTCTCTCTAGCACTTTTAATGAAAGTGTCCATATCAGATATCCATTTAAAATACATAAAAATTGATTCTACTTTTATACAACAGACATCTTATCGGAATATCCACTGATGAGAGGTAAATGTGATAAATGAAATTGCTTCCTTATGTATTCATGTTAAAGGTGGTGTGCCAGAAGACAGAACACGTGTTGAGGCTCACCTTAAGGGAACCATCTGCCTTATTTGGAGGCGGGTGCACTGAGACCCACTTAGCTGCTTATGTCAGACACAAGGTAAGATCCAGTATTTAGTCTTAAACTGGTTCATTTTATTGATGTCACATATCTTCACAGCAATTACACGATAGCACGTCTTGATTATGCCATATTTTCATCATAGAACAAGAATGAAGTGCCAGAGACAGCATCAGTGTTAGGGTGCTCCCAGACAGAATACCTTCTTGGTGTTGAAGTATTCTGCCGCTCTCTGGAGTCCGTGGCCAGAGCACTGCAGCACGACGGTGGGTACTCTTTAATCGATCTGACCCACGCTCACCACTGGACTCTACCTGCAGATGTCATGGAAGAACACATGGAGGACAGCTTTGGCCTTTGTGGCTGTGGACTGGTAGAAAGTAGCCCAAGTAAGAAGTGGACTTATATAGACACTAAATACGCAGAGTTCTCCCCTGCACCCCTGGTTAAAGACTGTCCTATACAGCCACGTGTGCTGGACTCCTTCATTGCTAAACTTAGTGCATTACAAGTTGCTACAGAAACTGCTAATCTTGCACTAGATGTGAGATATATAATTCAAGATGTGAGTTAGCTGAACAGATATTTTGTCCTTGTCTAGTGCTGGATTGAAATGAAGACTGAATGCAGCTGTTATTTTTCGAAGAAGCAAATCAGTTTAAATAATATCTAACATGGTTTTATGATTTACCCATTTGTCTGTATATTACTAAGAAATAATGATACCAATCACAATTATTAATCTGTCACCCATTCGTGAATTTTAGAAGCAATATACACATTCCATATAATTCAACATGCCTAATCTGAAAATACAAAGACATGTTCTCACTGCAGTGCCTTGCTGTTCACAATGCTTTATGGCACGTTGTAGATTGTCAGATAAAAAAATGTGGTGATGGGTTTTGTACAATCGAGTCTGACTGCAAGAAGAATCAAAAGAGATTCTTGTGCAGTAAAATCAGTGTAATTTCTGTTTTAAAATGCCAGATGCCGGTGCTCATCTTTTGCTGTCTTCTGAAACAAGATGACTGGCAGGTGTTTTGGTCTCAAAAGATGAATGGAATCAAAGCTTTTCGAAACTTGGGGTAGTCTTTGAATTTTTCTTGATAAAACCTGTAACAGAGGAGCAGAAGATAATGCCATCTGTGGCTCAGAAATGTCACGTCAGCAGTTTGAAATGTATTCATATTCTTTGTTCTTAGCTTCTCTTAGTATCTTAGGCACCTGTGATGGTAATAGGCTCTTGGTCCAGTAAAAGAGAGGCTAAAAAAAGCAAATGAGAGTGCTGGAAGGGACCAGGTGGCTACTGCATATCCAAACCATTCCACGATCTCTCCTAAATAGTTGGCACCTGACACATATTCAAACAGACCTCCTGCAGGAGAGTAAGAAAACCACAGGTCACAACAAGCACAGGGTAAATAACAGGTTACTCAGGAGCAATCTCTGTTTTTTTTTACCTGTAGGAATCTTGTATACTACATCATTTGGCTTCCTTAAGTTTCGCAAAATACAGTCGCTGTGTATGTTGATGGCCATTCCAGTATAAAACAGAAGTAAACCTACAAGAAATTCGTACTTGTATAATGATTTTTTAAAAGTCAATCATATTTTTAGAATGAGAGTTTTTAAAGCAAGAAAAAATAACACTTGCCAGTCATGCAGCGATAGTCAGTTGACCACTCATGGTCAAACTGGACACAATGCAGCAGGTAGTGTCCCTGCAGGAAACCATTCAGAGAGCAGAAGAAACCTCCTGCCACCATCACACCCAGTGGGAAAGGCCGTCCTCTGGTCAGGGGTGAATAGACAAATGTCCTATGATCGGTGAAGAAACAGTAGATACGGCAGGTGGAAAAATCAGTGCTGGCTCATGCACAGTTTAGTTTTACAACCATGTGGAGACATTTGAAGTGAAGACAAAAAAGTGACAGTAAGCATCCTTCCAGTATTTGTCAAGGGAGACTACCTCTGCCTTTGGCACAGTGTTTTAACCTCCAGATAACTGCAGAAATAAATCTTTGCAAAGCTTTTTTTGCAGTGTGTCTATCTTAAAATTGGACTCTTGCTTCCACAGTGTATCCAGCGCATACTCTAAAAGGTCCAAAGGAGATATTTTGTGTCAAATGCAAAAGCTCCAACTACTTTTAATGTACTTGGGAGTTTTAACTAAAAAAGATTTTTTTTTAAATTTACTGTTTGTGTCATGTTTTGTTAGTGGTGCAGTTCTATAATAGTTACATGTAGAATATTCTTTTAAAAGAAACTACATCCATAATGATTAAGTTAATTCACAGTGTGCCCAATATACTTCTAATGTTCACTGTGTTCCAAACAGGCTAAGCAAGTATTAATCAAACAACAAGTCTATTTGATTATGCAAAATTAAACAAAGTAACAGAACTAACTGAACTTGTAATTCAGATCTGAATTCAGCCTGCTGAAAATTTCATAATTTCAGTGGATGAAATGTTGAAAACTCCAAAGACACTTAGTTTTGTCATACATATGTTTTTACGCTCCCCTTCACATACACACCAAATAGCCCAAACCAGGCTTCTGTCTCTGCTTTTACCTGTGAAAGTAGTGCACACAAAAGGTCCCGATCAGCAAGAACTTCCCCATACTGGAGGATTTGTGCGAGGTGAACATGAGAAACAGGGGGATCAGGAGAGCTGGCATCTCCTGGAGGAACCAAGCCAGTCTAGCAGGAACTGTCCTCGCAGGAGGAGAAGGTCCCATATGGCGTCCATAGGAGGTCTGTGCCTTCTTGTGATGGACCAGGTGCCCCAGTCCTGCCAGGATGATCCCACAGCTGAGATAATTGATCAAGTTTTCGTAGCAGTGCATCCTGAACCTCCAGGACAGTTTCCTCCTCTAAACAAATCCTAAGCATATGTGTGAAGCTAAGTACTCAGAAACAGACTCTGGCTCCTTCCAACGTAACAAAAGAGGTGTGTCAGCCTGCTGAAACCTGAGAGTGTTCCCATTTTCACACCTTGGGCACTAACAATGCTAGAGGTAAGGTTACGAATATTCTTTCCGCCTTAAAAAAGAAACAATGATATTAAATAGCAACTTTTCCATCCTGTTTACAGACCCAGTATATCGAGTTATGTGGCTCTGTTTGTCTTTACAACATTTGTGTGAAAGGCATGAGAATAAATTTCCAAAGTGAAGGCTGACTGATTAATTTTGAGACAATCTCTTTCTGTAATTGTAATCACCAGTGGGTGAGCGGAAGGAACTTGATCAGACTAAAGACTAAAGTCACCGTAGCTCCACACAACAGTCCAGATGCAGATACGGATGCTGATCACATATTACGTAAATGTCACTAGAATTTTAGAAATGACAACCACATACAGTTACAACCAGAAGTTTACATACACTGTATAAAAAAAGACACAAAACCTTTTTTTTCCTCACTATCTGACATTAAATGAGACTAAACCTTTTCTGTTTTAGGTCAGTTAGGATTACCAAAATTTTTGCTATTTGCTAAATACCAGAATATTGAGAGAGAATTTTTCAGAATTTTTTTTTTTTTACTTTCTTCAAAGTCATAAGTTTAAATATGTTTCCTTAGTATTTGGTAGCATTGCCTTTAAACTCCTGACAGAACTGGTGTAACTGAGTCAGGTTTGTTGGCCACTTTGCTCCACACACCTGTTCAGCTCTGCCCACAAATTTTCTATAGGATTAAGATCAGGGCTTTGTGATGGTCACTCCAAAACATTGACTTTGTTGTCCTGAAGGCACTTTTTTAACTAATTTGCCGGTATTCTTAGGGGTATTGTCCATTTGAAGCCACATTTGTGCCCAGAGCTTTAACTTCCTGGCTGATGTCTTGAGATGTTGCTTCAATGTTTCCACATAATGTTCTTTCCTCATGATGCCATCTATTTTGTGAAGTGCACCAGTCCCTCCTGCAGCAGAACACCCCCACCACATGATGCTGCCACCCCCGTACTTCACAGTTAGGATGGTGTTCTCAGGCTTGCAAGTTTTCCACATTTTTTCCTTCAAATGTAACGATGGTCATTATGTGCAAACAGCTGAATTTTTGTTTCATCAGACCACAGGACATGTCTCCAGATATTAAGGTCTTTGTCCCTGTGTGCATTTGCAAACTGTAATCTGGCTTTTTTATGTTGCTTTTGGAGTAATGTCTTCTTCCTCTCTGAGTATTCTTTCAGCCCATGTCGGTACAGGACTCGTTTCACTGTGGATACTGACACTCTTACCAGCAGCAGCATCTTCACGAGGTCTTTTGCTTTTTTGGGGGGGTTGATGGGCACATTTTGCACCAAAACACTTCATCTCTGGGACACAGAATCCGTCTCCTTCCTGAGCGGTATGATGGATGGACATTCCCATAGTGTTTATACTTGCATATGATCGCTTAAACAGATGAATGTGGAACCTTCAGGCACCTGGAAATTGTACCCAAGGATAAAGGATAAACCAGACTTGTGGAGGTCCACAATTCTCTTCCTGATATCTTGGCTGATTTCTTTAGATTTTTTAATGTTGTCACAAAAGGAAGCAGTGTGTTTGAGGTGTGCCTTAAAATACATCCATAGGTGTGCCTCCAATTAACTAAAATGTTGTCAATTAACCTAACAAAAGCTTCCAAAGCCATTACATAATCATCTGGGCTTTCCCAACTAGTTTGAAGGCATAGTAATCTTAGTGTATGTAAACTTCTGACTTTGAAGAAAGTAATGAAAAAAAAATCTCTTTTTTAGCACATAGAAATAATTTTGGTAATCCTAACAGTCCTGGAAAAGTTTAGTCTGATTTAATGTCTTTTTATACAGTGTATTCAAACTTCTGGTTTTAACTGTACGTACTTACGACAGTAATAGGAAAAAAAACCCCTGTTCTTCTTGGTCTGAGCTCTTCTTTGTCAAGATGCACTAAAGACCTACACAGCATATTGAAGAACACTGAAAATTTGGTTAATCTACAGTTGTTTATGGAGTGATCTCATAATGCATATCACAGAGACACTCTGCCTTTTTCAAAGTTGTGATTATGCACGAAACAGTTCGTGCTGTGTTGGACATAGATTTATCCAATAAGCTGCGAGTTAGGATATTTTTTGTACTATGAAGCCTCCTGCCTGCATCGAGTGCTGCTATACTGGAAACAGAAGGCAAATAAGAATATTTGGAAAGTAGCAGCAGTTGCGTGGTCAAGTGTCAGCTACAGTACACCTATGATCTCACATGAGATCTGGTAATGGTGAGGGTCAAGGCATATGATTTACATCATTTTCGTTCTCATCGTAACACCCAGTGACCACTATGGACGGGGTTATTGTCACCCTGAAACCTATCAGGATCAAATTGTCTCATTGTAGGGATAAAGGTGAACAATTTTGTATTGATTTGCAGCGACGCTTCCCTCTAATGGGACAGGTGGACTAAAACCATGCCATCAGAATGCCCCCTACAACATATCAGAGCCATTAAATGCCCTCGATGTAGCAATCAAGGGTTCAGGGTTTTGTTATCCGTCACCTGTTGGTAAAGTTTGGAATTTGAGATTAGTAGTCACAATTTTTGTAATTTGTAGATACAGTAGCAATAAAGCGGGCCACATTTATAACGCAACAACCCTTATTTATCCTTTCATTATGTTTGCCTTGGAAAACTAATAGTGTCGTTCAATTGTCCTGCAACAAATCCTACTTTCATGAGGGTGGTGATGTTCAGTGTCCACTGAAACTTGTTTTAGAGACGTGTTGATCGAACGTTACGTTATTTATATTTATTTATGTTGTTGATGTAGGTGTGGTAGACAAAATAGTAGAAACACCTCAGCCACACTTTATATATCCTGAACTGCAGCCTTTCTTTTTTTCTAATTGCATTGTTTTAAACTATGATTTCAAATCAGTTACTTATTCAGCAATATATATAAACACTATCTGTACCACCAGTTTTTAAGTTTGTAAAATTGATGTGTACCTGCTAATATATTCCTCCAACCAGCTGGCTCCCTCTGTTGGTGATATTAGCCTTAATGTCTACAGGGTAAACTGACACTGGACAAACACAGCTGATATTTGTTTCAACCGGGATGTCTACCTTAGCAGCTTCTTCAGCGCTACAGTGTAAATTTGCCACCATACATGTTTGATGGCTGGTAAACAACACTGAAAATGACACCATTCAAAACCAAACACTGCTGCAGAGCTAAAAAATACAATGCGACTAATTCATTTGGAGAAACATATTCAGTAATACTTATGATAAAACATGGAAATGCAAATCAATAGTTTTCCGTGAGCTTGTAAATATGAGAAGAACAAGACACCAGACATGCTTTTCAGTACATTTTACTTATTTTGTAACATGAATCCTCAGCCATATCTGAAGAGCCTTTTGGGATGCTTTGTCAGTGGAACCTGAGATCAAAAAAACTCCATTAAGGGAGTAGTTAAGTAGTATATTTTAGGGTCATGACGTGTAAGTTCCAATTCTCTAACCAAGAAAAGAAAATAATACAAAAACCATTTCTATAAGACAAACAAATATCCATAAACAAAAATAAAATGAACAGTGTTGAGGTTTAGCCTTTGTCTCTCTCTACAGGAATGAGGTGATTTGGAGAAAACAGAACACCTTTCCCTGCTGGAGAAAGGCGATAACAGTTGGTGCCATTTTAGACCAACAGATGAGGGGGGGACAAGTCGCACACTCCTGGTGCTTTGGGCGAGCTGGAGACAATGTTGGGCAATAGGCAAAGGGGAGGGTACACAAGGAAAAACAAAAACTGAAATACATATTCTAAAATAAGACTAAAAGTGAGAATACGCTTTATATGTATATGTGCAACAGTGATAAAAGGCACAATAGCACAGTGTGTCATGCTTTTCTAGTTTCCCTTAAATTAGCCTTAGAGGTCAAGTGAGTCTGGGGATCATTTCTCAGCGCCCACTTGGTACAACTAGATATTGTAGCTTAATGCTAAGTGCGGCGCCTCTTATGGTGCCAAGAGGGAGGGACTGATGTAAGAGGACTGCATTACTGAAATGGGAAAACTCGACTTCGACAGCAAAAGTCAGTCAGAGATAAGTGACACTGAAATTTCAAAAGAAAGGACAGCGGACACTGTGTGCTGCCTATTATCATATTGTCATTGAAAGTCTACACTGCTACTAAGAACCTTGAGGTTTTTGCATTCAGTTTCTGTATGCAATTGGCTCATCTATGCAAACATTGGAAGAGGAGTATTTTAGGCAGCAAACCATTTCTTTTGTTAGTAACTGTGATCCTCGTTCTTGGCATTTCATTATGCAAATGTTCATGTTTCTTTCAGATTCATCCAATAAATCCAAAATACAGCAGGGAGCGTCAGCTGTCAGTTTTCTGGGTCAATTGTTAAACCATACAGAAGAGCATTATGCCTTTGTGCTGATCTTCATAATCAAGCCATCCATTACTGATTTCTTCTACAGTAAACTTGTCTAATTCATACTCCTACAGCCTCAATAGTAACTCTGAAGCAAATTCTCAGACCTGGAAACCAAATGTAAGAATGAAAACTTCTGCTTTCCCAATAACTTTTGGCATTCTTCAATCAAAACATTAACAACAAAAGGTATAAATGACTACCTAATGCACAGATATATTGTAACAGTTCTTAGAATTTAAGCAGATCATCTCCGTCTTTACTGTTTTGCCACTTACAGAACTGAATAGAACAAAAGACATTTTAAAATCTAGCAAAAAAAAAAAAAGTAGAAAAGAAATCGTAACGGAGTTTCCTAGGCTACATCCACACTAATGGGTTTTTATTTTTTTTAAAAAGTGCTTTAAATGAAATAGATCTCTTTCCTAACAAGGAATTTACCTCCATTCACAAAACATGCATGAAAATGTATATCATAGGAATTGTCACAAACCACTTGAATTATAGCTTGCCTTCTGTGTATATGCGTAGTGGTAGCACATTAAAATTCAGAAACATACTGCAAGCAACCTACTATCTAGAACTGACCACTGACAGTCAAGTCTGATGTCTACGTTTTTATCCAGAAAACGGTCGTGTTTTGCGAGCCTGCCAAATTCGGGTAGGACACATTGTGAGTGATGAGACCCAGTCAGGAGGCAAACGTGAATGTCTGCATCACTGTTTCCAAAAATCTTCCTTTCTGCCTATCGACTAAAACACAACCCCAGACTATTAAAACTAAAACGGGGTGAGCAGCATTCCAGGGTTCCTAAAATGTTTGAGTAATATAGTCGCTAGGTGTAAACATAGCAAACAGGAGTTTTTAAAATCAAAACAAATTAGAGTGGACGTAGCCCTTTTCAATGACTACAAAGATTCAAGGTGGCAGTGTAAACAAAGATCAGAGGTGTCTGCGTTGGAGTCATGTACACTACATCCAAATTTGATTACATTTCTGTAGCCCCCACAACTGCTGTCTGGCCCTAAAAAAAACTGGAATCCAGGAGCAGTGTTGTACACACTAATTTATTGGGCAAACCACATTGATGGCTTTCGAGCTTAAGTGACAACACTGCTTTAGTTCAAATCTACAAACTAACTGAGTAAATACTACCACATCTAATAAAACTATCTAACTAAAAAGGGAAAATAAAAGGAATAAAATATGAATAAAATATTGTATTTAATAAACTAAGATGATAATAATGTTTTTGGTTTGTACAGTAGGGGGTTAGTGAACTTTGTTGGGTGCAGCCCTTTGTTAGCAACTACAACATATGTTGAGCGATGGTAGTAATTACCTATGACACTGTTTTCAAAGTTTAAGTCGTTGAAGCAGTCAAAACACTCATTTCATTCTCGTCTGGCAACATTTGAATATTCTCCATTAGTATCTGCAGTTTTATTTTAATTCCTTTTCTGAGGCAAATTACAAGAGAACAGATCGAGTCCAATATGCAATAATACAACTGAAATCCTTTGTTTCGGAAGGAAAACAAAAACGGACAAAGAGGACAACTACAGTCCTTGCAAAAACCCAGAAAAAACAAGATTTCCCCCTCTCAATGCTTACTCCAAGCCAAAATACTACACACTCTGCCTATCTCCTCTGACCATTTGCTCCCACATCATCTCAAAACTGCACTTCAAGCAAAATGTTTCAACCAAAAGCTCTGAGACACACTTCAAACTGAGAGGAGGGTGGAGAAAGGCGGAGGAGAGCCGAGGGAGAGACAGAGAAAGAAGACGGTATTGGCTTTCGAGTGTCTAGGTCCTTCCTGCAAATATTGGGCATAACTGGGGGGGTGGGGTGAGAGGGAGGGTGTCTGGGTCAGGTTATGGCGATAGATAGTAAGGGCAGGGTGGTGGCGCTGCAGTGGCCCCTGCAAAAGTTGACCTCAATGAACGATGAGTGCCCCAGCAGCGTAACTCACGGAGCTGTCCTGCCAGTTCCTGCACTGACTTGATTGGGCGTAGTTCAGGAAAGAGAAGTTCATTTCTAAACCAGACTTTCTCAGTTCAGCCACAGCCTGCAAAACAGTAACAGCCACTTAGTCACTGATTCATAGCATGTATCACACACAAACAGGCAATAAAGAATGAGAATGTTACTGTCTGCCAGAAGCAGTATTAGGACTGTAGTGCTGCACAAAATTCATGGTTCAGGATAAACTTCAGTTTTGAAGTCATGGTTCAGAACACATTTGGTACAGCAGAGAGAAATGCATCACATTTTTTGATATGTATTTTTAATAAGAAGAATGTTCACCAGAGCCTAACTAGCCATACTTGTTTATTTCTCTAACAGTTAAGGCACTCAAATGCTGCATAACAACAAAAGACTGAGTTGTTTACTCTTAATTAAATTAAAATATCGAATAATACAAGTACACCATATTACTAATTAATTTGCCCATTGAAGTCAGAAGTGCAGTTTCTTCTTTAAAAATTGCACAGAGCAACGCTGCCTTTGAGGACACAGCCATACTGTCTGATTATTCATTATTAGAGCTGTCACTGGACCAAAGCAATCAGGGATTTGGCGCTTACACTGTAAGACCTGTACATTTTGAGTAGAGATGTTGCAGAAAGCTGATTAAAACCTAAAGTCAACATGCAGTGTGAGTTAGCACATCGTACATGTTTAGTAAAACTGCCACAATGTCTGTACAGCTTTCAAGGCCAAACGTGCCAGTCTGCCATAGCTAATGGACAACAACCAGTGCACCGTCTAAATGTTCCTGGTGGTGCTTGAACCGTTTGGCCCACAAAGCGTTCTGAAGAAAAGAAGTCTTATATTGGACCAAATGACAGTTTGGGACAAATACATGTACTGTTACACTAGTGTACAGTTTGCAGCACAAACACTCAAAGAATAATCCGGTTTCTTTATTTCCATACATCCTGTATGGATCCACTGCTGATTAGGATGCTAACTATTTCTTAGAACATGCACAATTAATGGTGTTTTAGCACAACACAGATCCCATTTACAAAGTCCTCAATTAAAAGGTGTCAACAATAAACGTCATTCCTGCCAGCAAATTCATCATGTTTATCAGCTAAAAAACAAGAATCTCCTGTTGTTGACGTCTGTCTAAAATCACGGAGCCAGGACCAACTAATTTAGAATTCTATATGGTACGTGAGAACAAGTCTATTTATTTTGTATCAGTATCACACTATTAATCCTTGTACTTCATCTTACTTTGGTAGTCCTATTTTATACATATATAGACATAGTAAAGGGGACCACTAAAGCCTTATCTATCATCTCTAAGCCTGACACTTCACTTAAGAACCAACAATTTCCCTGAGGTTTGCACCAAAGGGATCAATAAAGTTCTATTCTATTCTAAGAACAATCAAAAGGTTCACCACCAAAATGTCTACAAGAAGTGAAATGCTGTTACACCTGGTGATGCTCTTCTTCTATGGTACTTACATTTAGCAGCACTCCAATAGGGTGGCGCCCACAGATGGTGTTGCGATACTTCTTCAAGTAGTTAGTGAAAGACATGGGATCCAGCTGCTCTATAATGCCCATTCCCTGCATGAGCAGAGAAAACGGTTGAACAGAAGCCATAAAACCTTAATGTGCCCTCATATCCTTAAAGCATAGACTATTGTCAATTACAGGCAGGTTATTTTCTAAGATAAGTTGAATTTTTCACAGCAGGCATTTTGGCTTGTCACAGCAGGAAAAGCATGTGGAATTAATAACATTATTGACGGCACAGTTCCATCAAGTGTCCCAGTAAGACATGACAGTAAACCAGCATGTACAACAGCAGGTCCTCCCCCGAAGTGGAACACAATCATCATTAACGTAGCTGTGCTCTTCTTGTTATGACATGTCTGCTATGAAAAATGTCTATTACATCCAAATTATTTTTTACTACATAACATTTTGAAAATGCTTTTCTATTCCATATTCTAAACAACTTACTTCTCATGTTTTCATTTGTTCTTGTGACATGTTTTGAAGAATAATGATGTTTCGTGTGGATTTATACTAAACTATTATGTGATCACTTGGAACATTTTCATTTCTACTTTTTTTTTTTTTTTTTTCAAACAGCAGCAATTTCTATACGCACTGTGTTTAGGAACACATGCTTCTGTATCGTGCAAAAAAAGTTAATGAAAAACAAAAGAAGAATCCATATCCTATCGGTCCCTCTGCATTTTACCTTCCTGAAACATTTTTATCTTTATGCATTCAAATAGGTCAAATAAGGACATTTGAGACTTTCAAAATGGCATATCATTTATAACCACTGAGTATTATTGGTCCAGTTCTTTGTCTGTTTTAAATGAACTTTATTACCATAGCAATTGTGCCTGTGATGGAAGATAATCAAATTTCTTTACATCCTTTTCCCACAAACTATGTGATACTTGAATCAAAAATATGCCAGCGGTTACCATTCTATCAAGATGCTCAATAGACCTGTAGATCTCCCCTTGGGTATCATCATAGTACGTGTAGCGAAACCGTTGACCTTCAAAAGAGAAACGGACAACAGTTGGATTCATTTGTGTCACAATTATTACATTTAGCCCAAATTATCCTGCTATCACAAACTACAGTTAATTGTCAGAATAATCTCAAAAGTCATTTTCAGTGTTTCTATTTGTCGGTACCTACCCCAGTGGCAGAAGTCAGATGAGATGATGAAAAGGTTGGAAGGGTCTGCCAGGTACTTGCTGAGCAGCTTCCCATATTCCTGTTCCTTGGACTCACTCAGGGCGCCCACAAGCACAGGAACGATGCTAAACTCATCTTTGTGGCTGCAACATCAGATTACTGGATTAACAACTTGAGCTGAAGCTTTATAGTCGATATGCAACACTACAGGTTTCAGTTCAACCTGTATGCGCGATAAACACTAAGTTAATGTGCACAGTTCCTTTTTTACTACTGGATCAATGCTTTTTAGAACCAAGAAAATCCCTTTGACTCCAGCCAACCTAACAGAAGGCTGTATCAATTATGCATATCACACTTTCCATGGGTCCCTGGCAGCAGTGCGGTTCTGGTTTACGGTATGTACAGAAAGAAAAAAGAAAACCAAAAGAGCTTTTGTACAGTCTCCTTGTGTGTCAATAACAGTTAAGAAACAGCTTTATTCAGTGAAACAGTTTCTTCTGAAAGTGCACGGTGTTGATTCTTCAGTTCAATAAATGCCACTCCTATGTGCATTACCTCTCCATGGCTTTAGCAGTGTAAGGCAAGTGCATTTCAATACTGTGCTCATCTTCATCTGTCTGCAGACTCATCCTCTCAAACAACCCAGTTTTCCAGAGGTCAGCATAAACTGTAAAAGAGAGGTTTCACTTTAATTTGTGCATAACCATGTCTACTGATTAAGTCATTTTTGGAGCTGCACATTTATTTAAATGGGGGAATTCTGATAAGTGCCTGGTTGAGCAAAACCTAAACACTGAGAAAGTCTTTAACCAAAGGAGTCAGGAAAATGTCTGCTCCCTGAAAGCTGACAGAGAATATATTACCTCCCAAGCAGTGGCGGCTGGTTAATACAGGACGCAGGGGCGCCGCCCTCCCACGACTAATGACCAGTTAAAAAGTAGTTCTCAAACGTAAAATGAAATTGTAATTAATTGTGACAAAATAATAATTAATTAATAATAACGTTCACATTCTTTTGATATATTAACACAATTTGTATTATTAACAGATTTAATATAAGTCTTTACTGTGTGTTTACTAATTCTGCACTTCCTGGATGCGGGACGCCGGCCACGAGTGTGTATGTAGCGCTGAAAACTTTTCGTGATCATGTGACGTTGGCCCGGGCTCTGATTGGCAGCTGCAGACTTTGTCACGGGACGCGGCTCGGTGCGCCCCAGACCCTCCCACTTTTGCTGTAAGCCAATTAATTTTGTCTTTATTTGCTTTGTCTTCTGTGGTTGGATACCAAAACTGTCCTTCGACGTTCTTACGACTGCGCTTTCTGACACCGTCAAAGGGCCTTTCTCCTCTGCAACTAAATGACAGCTACTGTTGTGACGGCTTAATGCATCGGCATGCTGTCAGTGGAGTAAACACGGCTCGTAGAAAAGAGCGCGTGTAGAATTCATGTAGCTGGGTTTAACCTCGGACAAATCTGACATGAGAACGCCCTAGTTTATTATTTTTAAAGTCATTTTTGGTCGCACACCGGTCAGAGCACACCATAGTCACCAAGCAGCCGCTACCACAGCCTGCTCTGCGGGGCGTTCAGGGAGCATCAGTAAATCGTAGCTTCTATCGATAAGAAAATGTTCAGCAGCTCATGTCTTACCTATGACCAGGTGGGAGGTGCAACAAAATGAGAAAGTGTGTCATACTGGTGCTACCAGTGAAAAAGTCAGTCTGGTGCCCTGAATAGTGTTTTTTTTTTTTTCCCCATTATTTATGTTTTGTGTTTTGAGTTTGTACAGATCCTGTAAATATTGTTGAAAGTTTAGTGAATGGTTTTGAAATTTACTTCGGGTAATTCTTGATAATGTTAAATTATATTATGATTAGAATATCCTCCAAAGGGAGACAATTTGCATTCCTGTAAATGGTTGTGCCTGATGTTATTCATATTCTAATTTTAAATAAAAGGTCATTTGCAGACTGCGTCCCCCCACCAAAGATTTTCACCATCCGCCACCGCTCCCAAGACTGCTTGAGATCTGTAAACTAGAGCTCTGTTCAGCCACACTACAACAATCATAATGAGGAAAGGGTCAAACATAGTTCAGTGCTTGTTTTTTTTTCTTCACCTTTTTAAGTGCAATGATCCAGAACAACTGAGAAAAGGTGTTTCATTTTGATTTTGGCATGAAATATGCACTGCATTCTACAGCAGACAAACCCTAAATGCAGTCCAAACTGTGGCTATTTTACTCCCTCACATGCACATCCTTAAAATACCTTCTTAAATATTTGCCAGTTAACAGTTAACACATGAGACTGAGAAACAAACAAACATTAAATAAAGGTGCAATCACAATGTCATGAGTGAAAACAGTGAATACCCTTCTGGTCGATTCTCAGGTCATAGAGGGGTGTTCTATAGATGTCTGCAGGTGACAGGGCACAGCGGGAGAGGGGCACATGGTGTGAAGGTCCCAGGATGAACACCCTACGACTGAAGGGCAGCAAGACTTAATCTCACTCACCCTGTTCACAAAAGGCACACCACCAGCACTGCAGTCTATTATCTATACTAACATCTGTTCATTCTGTCAGAGGAGAGGACTTAAGATAAGAAAATATCACACAAAGCATTTTCTTAAATATGCAACAGAAGACCCAGAAAACTGAATGACTCACGTAATAGAGGGATCAACCTGCTTGTAGGCATGTGCTGCACAAGCACCACAGTAGGTATACCCAGCATGGCTGCAAACAAAAATGCATCAAATTAGACTGACATTGCATCACAGACATCATGTAACATACGCAGAAGTTAATTTTCTTCCATTTGTCCAAGTGTGCTTACGGCGCTATGATGGCTCTAGCAGGTCTGATCGTGGACTGTGCCTGAGACAGCCAGCCTTCTAGTTGTGCGTTCAGCTGGGATCCTGAAATGGTAAAAAGACATTGAACAAATATCTTGTTTCAATCAGTATCTCTGGGATAAAAGGGATAATTCCAATTAAAACAGAATTTGGTAGACACAGAAAAGCTACACGTATAGATCACAAAGATCATGCTAAGTTTCTAAAATCGGTGTGTCAGTAAGACTGTAATGCCCAGGGTGTAAAATCCAAATGATACAATGGTCAATTTAACCTTGTCATTGGGTATGGTTTGCATTTCTTTTGGGAAGGTAAAGAAAGAAATGGAAGTAAACTAGAATGAAGTCCCACATTTTATACCATGATACCTTACAAAGTTCTTCACAATCTTTTAGAAACTGGACCTCTTGGGTGAAACATCTAATCTTTCACTGTCAACTTAAAGAACCATCACCCTGTGTTCTGATTCTATTTAAACATTAAAAACACACCCAGGTTTAAACTTGCTTGACTAAAAAGATGATGGATTACCGAGGAATGCATTGCCTGCATTACAGTACAAGCTGCTACGAGACGCTTACCTTATGACAGCATCAAATACACAAGACTGACAGTTTGAACAACTGCTATGATCAGTTGTGTGAAAACAAACAAGGACAGCCACATCATGGTACATTTCGGTTAGCTCAGCCTTCATGTGTGGCTTGTGAGTTACATGCAATATAAATATCTGTAAGGTTTTCCATAGTACCAGACGACTGTATACGTTCAGTCGAAAATAAATGTTAGTATAAATGCAGTAAAGCAAGCTAATAAAGGACAAACAAGCAGCCTTGCGGGGTTCAATAAAAACAAACTAGCGTACGCCTGTGAAATGGGGGAAGGGGGAGAACATGAACCTTCAATTTTCTGCCCTGCCCTACCCAGTCCTTTGTTTCATGGCAGGGAAGACTTCAGCACATACACTTAAGCCTGTCAGGGTCAGAGACCAACAAGACCACAACAATAAAACAGACAGATTGCTCCGGGAAATGTCTAGTGCAGCTGGCCAGATAGCATGTAGGCCAGGAAGTTCTGCAATATTAGCCAAGTTAGCTTTGATTGAGTTGGTCGCTTGTCAGAAAAAAATGCTGAGCACGAGATGCCCGTTTGTTCTGAAACACTTCCAACCACCACCCGAGGATGAAGTGCTGATTAAGCTCAAACCAATCATGCACCAAATGGGATAACAGAGTCGAGGCAGTCGACACCAGTGAAATGTTAGCTAGCTTTAGTTAGTTAGCTTTTTTTTTTTCCATCAGCAGCACAAGCGCTACAACTTCAACGCTAGCTATCATCGCCTATAATCGAAGCCGCTGACAGATCAGTTAAAATCCTATGATGAGTAAGTGTTATACAGAGTAAAAATCCCAAAAAACAATAAAATACACTGCCATGACAAAAACAACAACAGTTAGCATACAGCGTGCTAACAGGGACAGTGCTGTGTTGACAGTTACCCGAAGCGGAGTACCAGCTCCCGGCGTGACTTGCTTCTCTGCACACCACTCGGTTCGACATCTTGGTTCCCAAGCCGCCTATCTTGGTTTACTTAACTCTTGTCAGGCGAAAAAAACAAAATAAAAATGCAAAAAATCCGGCGTTAGCTAACCAACAGAAGAACCAACGCCTGCTAGCTAAGTTGCTTGAAAAGACAAAGGGCAGTTGGACTGGAGAGACAGTGGAGCTAGCTGGCTAACGAGCTCAGTGTACCGTCAGCTGGCCCTGCTGCTGTTACCGGTTGATAAGTTAGCCGGGGAGCGCAGCTAACGTCAGTTTGTTAGACAGTCTGGTGATATTATCATGTAAATTCTGGAAAGGCACAAATTACAAAATAGATGTAATATGCCAATGATGAACACCTAGAAGACCTATATTAAAACCTAGCTGTAAAGCTGAGCCTTGTCACTGTCAGGAATCTGAGGATTACTGGTTTGTCTGTCGAGCCAGGTAAGGGGCGTGTCTCAAAAATGTTGTCGAGTGACGTTGGAGCATTCTGATTGGTTGCTTTGTGAACCGGCATGGCGTGATTGGTGGGCAAACAACTAGAGGCGCGGCCGGTACAAAAATGATTGTTTGATTATGAAATTGCACTGGCCGTCAGGTGAGCGGGTACAGCGTGGTGAAAGTGTTGCGTGGCTGTCTTCTCCTGCTCCTCCTCAGAGGCGGAAAGGGGTTGCTACTACCCTAAAGATTAAATAAATTGTAGAAATCGAGGGCTTTATTTCGTAAATTTAAACGACAAAAGGCTATACCATTTTTCCAATAAAAGTTTAACTGATGTGTAGGATATTCCCATAAACACTATATTGCAATTATCTTGTTCTTTTAATTTAATATTTATTTTCTATATTTCACATACTGTTGTTTTGTTTTTTGTTTTGTTTTGTTTTTGAATTTTCTTTTGTTAAATTACACCATCCCAGATGCTTTGACAATATCTTTTATGACTCTCTATATTAATGTCAATAAAGCATACTGAATTTGTGAATTGTGATTGTATTGTTCAAGTGTATGTTGAGTCTTAATTTATCAAGAAGGAACCATCTCAACACCAAATACATAAACCAAAACACAATTTTTAACCCCTTAAAACCTGGCATCCACATGTGTGGACATCACATTGTTGGTTATATTACCTCAGTAGTTAATTTTTTTAAATAAGTATTTATTTATTTATTTATTTATAAATGCATATCAAACAACAGCTCAGGTCTTAAGAGGTTAATTATCCATTAATTTACTTTTAAACTGAATTGACATTGACATGGCTTTGGAATAACAGCTGTGTATTCAACAATTTTAAAATACAACTATCTCATCATTCAGCTTTTTCTGTAATTTAAACATCCCCTGGTGCTATACATAGAAGATTTGCTTTTCACATGTTTTTTCCTCCTCCATGGAACATCCCATATCAGACACCACAGAACAACCTTAGAGGTCCTATATTCATCACCTGACAGTTTAGAGCTGTTTTGGCAGCACCAGAGGGACCAATACAATATGGTCTTTCTGACTCTCTGGATGTACATTGTGGCTGTAACGCCATCCATTAACTATGTATTTCATGTGACTTTCGCCTCCCCTTCTGCTATCTGCATGTTACTGTTATCAAAAGCCTCTTCACTAGCAGAAACATCAACATCCGAGTTTGCAACCTACATGCTGGAAATTTCAAGTTTTGCAGAGGATTTGAGTTGTGCATTAAGTAGCCCTGCTGTTTTTTGTTTGTTTGTTGTTGGGAATCACCCATTTTAATAACAGTTCACATCTTTCTGCATGTGAATGTTTCGCTATAACAATTCCACTATCACTGCTTTGAGGGAAGACTGTTGCTGTATCCTTTGCTTAGCTCTGCTCAATACGATTGCAATTGGATTAAACAAACAGACGAGAATGTTTCCCCCCCATAACAGAATAATGATGAGGCCAGACCATTCAGAATGATCTGGCTTTGCAAGACAACACTGGGTCTAATAAACTATTAAAGAGAGCTTTGAAAATGTTGTTTTTGGTGCAATATTGAAAGAATAGCTGTGTAGTGTGTACTTTTCTCCTGGAAGCTCCCTCACTGATCATCATTATACCATTAAAAACTCACTTCTGTGGATCAAAGTTATATATTTACATATTTTTTTCCTACTTTAAAATAGCTTAGATGTAGCATTTCACCATTGCTTGCTCTAGAATGTGCAGAGTTATGAAATTCTAGCTTTTCACTCACCTTCTTCTGTTCAGATTTATATTTACGCCTGTCTTTTCACTCACTTGCAACTCTGTTTAGACACTGTAAAACTAGTCTATGCAACACAATAGCAAATAGAAATCAATCCTGAAGAATACAGAAAGCAAGTTTCAAGTTGAAAGGGTTGTTTTTTAGGTGTGAAAGCTTGAATATCTGAATCTGTGTTTTTGGAGACTGGAGTTATTATGCTGCAGGTTCATGGCATTGACTGTTTGTAGTATATGAAAACAATTTTTAAAAAAAAAACCAAAAACATATGGATATGTTGAGGTAAAGAGGCTGATTTTCATTGAAGGGGGTCTTTACATTTTTACAGCAAAACCATATGGCTGCCATAATTGTTGCTTTTAACAAGACACTTCAAATAAAATATATTTGTATTCACACGGCAGTTGGGCAGTTTTGGTCAGGAAAAAAACGTCTTTTTAGTCCCGAAAAATAATCCTAATAATTAAAAAAAAACGTGATTTTATGGTGTGAAGATCCAAAGGGCAAAAAATGTGTTGCATTCCAGTAGCGTGACGGCCCGGGAGGGCGGAGACTCCTGTCTGACGTACACACGGTGAAAGCGGAAGCTAGCGGTAGAAATGTTTGGGTTGTGATGAGGCACCAAAATTGTTGTTACATATATTAAAAAAAGGTTGCGTTAAAAACCACAGATCGCGGATTGAACCACTTTTAAATGCTACTTAAAGGCTAAATACTACCGTGTTTTATTTGGTATCGCGCTAACTGTGAGTTCTGACTGAGAAGGAAGCGACAGTAACGCGAGAATAGGCCTGATGTCGGCCAAAACAAGCGCAAGTAAAAGCAAAGACTGCGGCGAAGTTATTAAAAACTACCACAAGCAGGCGTTTGAATATATATCGAAGGCACTTAGGATCGACGAAGATGATTCAGGTTAGTTCACGGTGTTTTCTGACTTACTACGTGGTGTGTGTGACAGCTTGTGATGATAAAGCCCCTGTGTGTGGTGACAGGGGAGAAAGGGGAGGCTGTGCAGTGGTACAAGAAGGGGATAGCGGAGCTGGAAAGAGGAATTGCAGTCGAGATCACGGGACAAGGTAATCGCCAACACATGTCCAGATGTGCATGATGTTCCGTGTTGACATGCTTTAGTCTAATACTCGGTGTTTTTTGTTTTTTGTTTTTCCAGCAGGAGAGCAATATGACCGAGCAAAGAGACTTCAGGATAAAATGGTCACCAACCTCACCATGGCAAAAGACAGGCTTGCTCTGTTAGGTGAGTGGCATCTTACTTGTCTGACATCCTGAAGTCTGAACTACATCTATGACTTTTATTAAAGTAAAGCTGCACAGTGCTCACATCAAATGTTGATTAGCACCCATCCTCATCAATAACCAAGCAGTAGAAACAGTGGACCGTTATCTTACACTTGACAATAAATTCACCTTTGACCAGCACACCACGGACATCCAAAAAGGAAGCCACCAGAGACTCTCAGCCATCCATAAACTAAAAGGACTTTACGTCTTCGCCACCCCCGCCGCCCCCTCCCAAATCTCCTTCTGTTGCTGCATCCTCCAGTCCGTCCTCCTGTATTGCTCCACCTGTCTCTACAACACGCTCACTGTTACTAACAAACCCAAACTCATAACCACCATAGCCTCCAAAATAATCACCAAACCTCACAGAGTTAAATAACACACCTACTGAACACATACCTCACCCCCCTCCCCTCAGGACTTACAGGGAACAGCAGGTGTGATGGCTCCTGAAAGATCTTGCTGGCTTTCCTTAAGGTCTGTTGCTCACAAAGGGTGGAGAGGGTTCTTACAGGGAGCTCGATAATTTTGGAGCAGATCTTGACAACACTCTAGTCAGTTTTTACTCGAATGACATAAATAAGTAGCAAAAGAAGGTGAGACATTGTGTTGCATGTTGTAATAATGCCATGTTCACAATTATTCATACCATATCTCAGTATCTCAGCTTATACAGTTGCTAACAAGCTTTCTGCATGTCTCCACTGGGATTTTGTTCCACTCCTCATTTGCCACGACCTCCGGGTCTGTGAGGTTGGAGGTCTTCCTCACCATCACTCTGGTCCTCAGCTTCCCCCACAGATCCTCAGTGCGATTCATGTCTAGGCTGGGACTAGGCCGCTCCACAATTTTAGTATTGATTTCTCCCAACCATTTTTTGACCACTCACTGCCCGATGTCCATGGAGACCAGCCTTGTGCACTGTTTAAGATGTTGCTACCAGATCTCCAGACTCATCAGAACGGTGTTGGTGTTGATCCTTGGAATCTTCTTGGCGTCTCATACAACCATTCTTGCCAGTGCAGGGATCACTTTTGACTTCCTATCACACCCTTTGAGATTTTGCATCACAGTGTGAAACCCCTCCTTTTAATACACTGCGGCCACTGGTTGCTAGCTGAGCTCTACTGATAGTGTGCAGGAATGCACTACAACAAAGTTACAGTTATCAGGACCATTTAGAGTGGTATTGAAGCTGCATTTTCTCAGAAATTGGCAACAATTTCAAGAGGTATGGATCATTTTGGATTTAGAAAACACACCAAGAGTTAAAATGTTATCATTAATATCTCTAACACAATATCTCACTGTGTTTTTTTCACTAGTTTATGTCATTCCTAGCCAGAAGAAACCGATTGGTCAAATTAAACATTGCTGTAAATCAAAATTTGGCATGAGTCTATATCATTTGTCGTTTAACTGTAAGCTGAACAGGGATGCTGAAGATAAATGCTTTTTGTTACTTTGCAGAGACAACGTTGGCATCAAAAAGGAGAAGTGATCCAAAGACAAATCATGTTCTTCCACAACCAAAGCCTTTTCCTAAAGGCCACCCTGGAGTCGCTGGTGTGTCCACTAACATCAGGCCCTCCTCTGCTGGCAGAGCCCCATCGAGACCTGCTGACCCAAAGGTGATTTTCTTTATATTATTTAACTGTCCGGTTGTGTCCTACTTCAGCGGGTCAGCTGTGTAATGTTTTCTGGATGATTATTTTCCTGCTAAGGTGACCCCTCGTGTGGGAAAAGCCCAAAATGGAAGACCTGCTGCTGTGAAACAGCCCCCAAAGAAGGACATGAAAAACTTCAAGAATGTGGACAGCAAATTGGCTAACTTGATTCTGAATGAAATTGTCGACAGGTATTTAGAAGTAATGCTACTTTTTTTTTTCATTCAGTAACATGCAAATAAGTGGAACGTATTCATATTGTCTCCCTCTGTTCACTGCAGCGGAGCATCTGTATCCTTTGAAGATATCGCGGGACAGAATCTGGCCAAACAAGCCCTCCAAGAAATTGTCATCTATCCTGCCTTAAGACCAGAGGTGATGACTTCTAAGCGTGATTCTTCTCTGTTTTCTGTGTCTCTGCTTTTTCAGACTTCCCTGTAATGCTTTTTCACGTTTTGCTGTTTAGCTCTTCACTGGCCTCAGAGCTCCTGCACGTGGTTTGCTTTTATTTGGCCCACCTGGAAATGGAAAAACCATGCTGGTAGGCCAAGTGCTCTTTCCAACGCAATTAAACAAATCATTCAACTGTGCTTTATAATTTGCATGTAGCTGATGATAGCTGTCGGTGGAATCACAGCCTCCGCTTCCTTTCACCAGGCCAAAGCAGTTGCCGCAGAGTCTAACGCCACGTTCTTCAACATCAGCGCTGCCAGTTTGACCTCTAAATACGTAAGAAATGCTTTCAATCATCTTTTTTTTTTCATCTCGCTGCAGTTTTTAAAAAAATCCTTCCCACTGTCACCGTCACAGGTCGGAGAAGGCGAGAAGCTTGTTCGAGCCCTGTTTGCAGTTGCCAGAGAATTACAGCCCTCTGTCATCTTCATTGGTTTGTATTACTCAAACATGTACCTGAAACACCAGTTGTTTCAGCTCATCAATGAACCTCTCATTATTCTCTGTTTGACACTCAGATGAAGTGGACAGCCTGCTGTGTGAGAGGAGAGAGGGAGAACACGATGCCTCTCGCCGCTTAAAAACTGAGTTCCTCATAGAATTTGATGGGGTGAGAGCAGCGGCCTTAGAAATTTGATCGTGAGCCATTTTCGGAGTCACCGTTGTCTCTGTGAGTGCAGGTGTTATTTTCACAACAGTGCTTCTGGGTTTCAGGTGCAGTCAGGAGGGGATGACAGGGTGCTTGTAATGGGAGCGACCAACAGGCCTCAGGAGCTGGATGAAGCAGTGTTAAGGTACACTGTGCTGTCCTTCATGCTGTAAATTTATTTTTCATTATATATGCTGTCACTGCCGTCTATATAAAAAAACTAAAAAATATTGCCTGTCACTTTTATGCTGATGATACTCAGATACACCTGAAACCTGACACTGACTGCTCTGTAAATTCATTAACCAGTCATTTGGCTTATGTTCAAACTCGACTCTGTCAAACATTTCTCAACTTTAGTGAGTATGAAACTGAGATTCCGTTGCTCACCTTTCACCAGTGTCAGTATTTTATTACACCATGGTTCACTGACACGGAGTTTGCATGTTCTCCCCGTGCAGCGTGGGTTCTGTCCGGGTTCTCCGGCTTCCTCCCACACAGTCCAAAAACATGTTGAGGTTAATTGGTGATTCTAAATTGTCCGTGGTGTGAATGTGAGTGTGCTTGGTTGTCTGTCTCTAAGTGTGGCCCTGTGATAGACTGGCCACCTGTCCAGGGTGTCCCCTGCCTTCGCCCTAAGTCGGCTGGGATAGGCTCCAGCCATAATGGATGGATGGATAGATAATGGATGGATGGATGGTTCACTGACACCCTACTAGAAACCACATGTGAAGAACCTTGGTGTTATTTTTGGATTCTTCTTGCAAATTCGACCTGTTGATTAAATCAGTAATCAAAGCCAACTTTTTTTCTACTGTTGTCTAAATTCAAACATTTTCTTGAGAAGATCACTCATGATTTTTATTACGTACAGTTAGTTCTATGTCAGAATGGGCCAGACACTACCATCCAGTTGTTTCAGAATGCTTAAGCTGTCAACCAATCCTGACATCTTTACCTTGGCTGCCTGTTCAGTATAAGATGAAATATAAATTTGTCTTACCTTTTTGTAGCTACTTAAATTAACTAACCCCAGCTTATCTCTCAGACCTGCTTCACCTATACGCCCCATGTTGCTTGCTTAGGCAATTCGACCAGATTCTCTTCGTAGTTCCCAGATCTGGACTGTCTTCTGAAGAGCAGCACCAAAACGTTAGAACAGCTTCACTCCTTCAGATTGGGTCGTCAGCTTCAATAACAGTGATTAAAAATCAATTAGAAACATGTTTTTCCTCGTTTGCTTTTGAGATCCAATTTCAGTTTTATCTGTGTGTACAGTACTAATGATTACCCCTGTAGTTTGTCACACAGTGATCTGGTTTACTCTTCTTGTAATGGTTCATGGATTTAATTCACTTAATTTGTTTTAATGGTTTTATTTGCCTGATGCTGTGCAGCACTTTGGTCAACATTTTGTTATGAAGCTTGTGCACAGATTCAGTAAGGAAGATTTCTTCTCTAACACTCTGTCTCTATTACTCTCAGTGAATAATAACTATTGTTGCTGCGCTGTTCTCTCTGCTATGTCCACATTCACACACTGATAAAACCACTTCACTTTCAATCTCAACATCTTGACTCTTGTCCAGTGATCTATTTGTCAGCGCTCTGCAGACAGATACAATCAGCCTGTAGACCCCACTCTTTAAAGTCGTTGCACTTCTTGAACATGCATCCGTGCTATGATTTCGAAACCTCGTCTGTCCATCCTTGAAGAAGATCCTGTGGGTCTTATATATGACTCGTCGCCTGTGGGCTGCTTGAGATGGAGTTCCCATTGCTTCCTGGCATCTTGCTGCTGAACCTCCCACCCTGCAACTGCTATCAGCTAACTAAATAAACACAGTGCTTCCCAACTGCAGAAAATTGCCAGAATTTCCAGTACAATTCATTCTTGACCTCATTCAGTCCTTCCAACTCCACAGCATCCCACTATACCTGCTGATTCAGCTCTGTTCTCAAATTCATGCACATAAGTTCAAGAGGACCAAAAAAATCTGCTTCAGCAGTGGCTGCAGCAAAGCGTGGCACAGCTGGCACTCTGGGATCTCCCGCCCTTCCACCAGTAACACTGATGTAGGATAATTTCTCCAGGCTGTAACGGCATCCTACTACTCCAGCGATGCCTGCAGGCACTGGAAACCACAAATAGAGAACCCATCACTCCTGTTTAATCAACATCCCTCGATCTTTCTGCCTCAGCTCTCTGTGGTCTCCGCCACTTCCACTTCCTTGCCCTTGCTTGTATTCCCTAGTCTAGCCTCCTCCAAAGTTCTCAGAGGTAAAGACATCAAATTATTGAGTATGTTGCCACAGTCCCCTGAGAGAGGGGAGAAAAAAAAGGGGGAAAAAAAATCACGAGGGCTAACCTAATGGCAGGGCTTAACACCTTATACCCCGGTTTATTGACAGACATGTCCATCTAGAGTTCCTGTGCTCTTTCTATGCAGAGAAAAGACAAGAGCTGGGTGTATATTTAGCACTGGTCAGTTATCTCAAGTATGGCAAAAATATTTTCTACTTGTACCACAAACTCTCCCCAGCAAATCCGCTATCTACATTTCTCAGTACGAGTGCATTAACTGGTCAGTTCTCATCACCGAACTGCTAGTACTGATTGCTGGAGGACAACACGTCTGCTTCACCTGCAGGAGCAGCGGATAACTAGCTTCTCTGTGCCACAGGCTGCCTATTTAATTTTTGGCCTGAATTTAATATCACATTTTACAATCTATAGTTTGTTTCTCAAGTATACAAAACAAAGGGGGCTTGTTCAAGTATTATTACCTGCACTGGCCATCCTTTTGGTTCCTATGCTTCAACAATGAAATTCCTAAGGCTCTGAAAAATCTCATTGTCTTCGGCTTCTCTTTTTTTATCCCTATAATCACCCCATGACTAAATCCTGGTTCATTTAGCATCTTTAGTGAAGAGCTTTTTAAGTGTGATCTAAGCCCTCAGCGGGCCACTTTAGAGTATGAAGTGTGTCAGAAAAGTTTCAGGACTGGTGTCACAAAAGATGTTTTTCAAATCCAAACTACACATTTTCCCCTTTGAATGAATCTGCCTGGAGTCTAACACACTTTCCCAGCCTTCTCTACCACACCGCCATGAACTCCTAGAAAGATTCCTCTGTAGCTCTGTCGTCACAGCCGTCTTGATGTCGTCCACGTCTTCAAAACAGGTTCCCTTGATGACCCCCTTGAGCTTGAGGAAGAGGAAAAAAATCCCACAGAGCCAGGTGGGGTGAGTCGGGAGGTTGCTCCAGCACGGCAATGGGTTAGGGTTAGGGTTAGCCTGGAATTGTCGGATGCTCAGGGCATTGTGAGCAGGTGTGTTGTCTTGGTGAAGTAGCCACAACTTGTCCTGCCACAACTCTCACTTCTTCTTGCACACTGGACAAAGCAAATGCCGCAGGATCTCTTGGGAGACGTGCTGGTTGATCGTCTGAAGGGGAAAACTCGTAGTTTGTAGTTTGAGTTTGAAATATATCTTTTGTGACACCAGCCCTGGAATTTTTCTGGCACACCTCATAGGTACTACAACTTCTTTCATCCTCCTCTCACTAACATTTGATCATCTGCTGCTTATGCAACATAAACATTAGGTCATGTCCTCATCTCCTGCCTGTATCTGGGACTCCACTACATGATGTCATCCATCACTTCATTTGTCCAATGATCTGTCTGCTCACATTGTGCAAGCCAGTCAGCCTGGAGACCCCATTCTGTACATCCATTGCAATTCTTTCACTCTTTCCCTAAAGCATCCCTCCTCCCCACCTCCACCTCATCCAGGTGTCCAGAGCATCTCAGTCAGTCTCCACAGACGCCTGGTCCACCACCACCAGCGTCTACACTCCAGCATGCTCATGTTTCTGCAAATAAATAAATAAATAAATAAATAAATCTCTCTATGATATCTTAGTGTTGAAGTGTTTACATTTTTGATATAAACAAACTGACTTCACTTGACTTGCATGAGGTCATCACCATTTTTTTGCTTTTTATCTTTCAGGCGCTTTGCAAAGAGGGTTTATGTGACATTGCCAGATGAGGAGGTATTTACTGTGTAAAAATGTGTCTGTGAATGTCTTTGCTAGCTTTGTAGTGTGAGTTTTGAACTTTTTAAACAACTGCTTTTCACAACTCATCTTCCTTCAGACAAGATTCACGCTGATGAAAAACCTTTTGGGAAAGCACTCGAATCCACTGAGTAAGAATGAGCTGTCTCGTCTAGCAAAGTAAGTTTTATGTTTGTAGCCTTAACGTAACCATTTTATATGACTTTGCATTAATTCCTGCATATGTTGCTTGACAGAGAGACTGTGGGATACTCAGGAAGTGATCTGACATCGTTAGCCAAAGATGCTGCGCTTGGACCAATTAGAGGTATGACTGCTTAATTGAACTGATTACATATTCATACTTTTTACTGAACGGGCTTGAGCTGGTGAGATTTAATGTGAAATTTTGCCTTATGCAGAGTTGGGGCCTGACCAAGTCCGTAGTATGGCTGTTACTGAGGTGAGATAATACTGTTTAAATACTCACAATACTGCTTTCCTACACATTCACAGCCAGTCTTTATCAGTATATTCAAACCTTTGTTTATATTCACAGATGCGTAACATCAAGATGAAAGACTTTGAGGATTCCCTGAAACGCATTAAGCCCACTGTTAGTCCATCGACTCTTAATATGTATTCCAAATGGAACAAAGATTTTGGTGATACAACAGCTTTCTGAGCTTAATTGCTGATTTTTACTTGTACAAAAAAACAACAACATAAAAATAAAATAACAGTTGTTTCCACTGTTTTACTCTATGGGAACAAGATGTCAATAACATAAATAAAACCTGGAACAATACCTTTGTAGGTTGGTAAAGCTATGATGTGTGAATATTTTGACATTCGGAAGCATTATGGGACAATTTCCTGTTTTATGGGAAAGGTTTTGCTGTTTCTTGTGAGTTTCTTAATTGTGTTATGACACCCTTAAAACACTGTCTTGCTACTTGAAATTTCAATATTTATTCTGAAGAATGTCTTGCGAAACTACGAATGAATTTTCTTTTTCCTCATAAGAGAAGCCAGCTCCTGCAAATGTCATCTACATTATTTTTCTCATCCGTTAAGCACCTGATACATTGACATGTTGATGGTACTGATCACCAAGTGCTCTCTGTACGTAGGAAAACATACAAAATCGGTAGCAGTTGGGAGAAGAATTGCCAGAGTGGATGTTTTTTTGTATAATAGTATTTGTTTAGAAAGGTTTTCCATTTGCACGGGTAATTTGTAGATACAAATACTTGTATTTGAAAGTAGGAGACCTAACAAACTGTCATGCTTTCTGACTTTTTTTTTTAAACAGTGACAGTTAGTTGAGCAAAATGCAGCAGTTTCCCACTTTTCCCATTCATCAATAAAGACATTCATTCACATTTATTCAGCTTTGTGTTTTTCTTATTTTTCTTAGAAACCTGATGTATCATACACAGATGATTAAAGCAAAAGTACAATCTATCTATGAGTCTATCTATGACCTATGTCAGTCACAGTATTACAACAGATCACTATATCAGCAGCAATGAAAACGCACTGAAGAAACTGGCACTGTCTTTCTCTTTGTATTTCAGCTACATATTCCATCTAAGTTTTTTTTTTCCTTGAAAATCATTCTTTTCCGCCCACTTAACCAAATGACACAGTGTATAGGTGCATTGAACTAATTCAGCCATACATGTTGGAACAGGAAACTGATACTGAATAAGCATGATGATACAGAAAGTCTCAATTTGCAGGTTGATAGGACTGGTTCTTCAGATTGGTTATGGATGAAAATGCAGAAGGCTGAATCTGTATTTTTGAGACTGTCATTTGGTTTTTATCAGCTTCAAGGTGGTGCTGACTGCTTATTATTACTATTATATACTGCTTATGTCTTCCAGAATATACAAAAGATCATATTGTCATCAAAAGTTCCTTTTGCACACTTCGGTTATACTCTTGTTTTATTGCACATTATTATTTGCACTACACTCACACAGGACTTTTCTATTTATATTACACTACTTGTCTACATATTACACTTATACATTTTGCATTTTAGATTTTCTTATTGTTTATTTTTGCTTATTATCTGTGTTTATGGTGGTTGTAACTTTATCTTTGTACTGTAACAACTAAATTTCCCCTTGGGGATTAATAAAGTATTTCTATTCTATTCTATTCTATTCTATTCTATTCTATATTGACATGTTATGTTAAAAAAACTTGATTTTCACTGGAGGGGTCTTTAAAACAAATGGATGAGGTTTTTCCATGAAATCTAAGCCTTTTCCCTTCCTTACTCCCATTTTTGGGAGGTGTTCCTTTAAGTTTGCAACATGGAGCAGGACTCATTAAACCATTTTTTAAAATCATTTCTACATGTCCTTCCTTTTAGAGTTTTTCTGCAACAGACTTGTTAATTCTTGAGGTGAATGCTGTGAGGAGTGACGTTTCTCCACATTATCACTCCTACAGGTAGATGGTGCTACAGGTCTTGTTTTTGCCTGCTACATGACTGCTTTCTGTGGCCTCAAGTGGCATCTGTTGGAACCAGCAGATACTTCGCCTGCAACCATAGATGTGTGGAATGCAGTAAATTGCTATTAATGAAAATAAAGGCCATGTTTTTCTGTGTTGACTGTCAGGTTGAATGATAGATTAGTTAAGTCTGCAGTTTTTGGGTATGTCCTACAGTTATACTGCTCATGCACATACATGTTGGTGCATCGGAGAAAAGGTCGCAGTGTCAAGCGAAGTTACATTATGCAGCTCTGTGGTCAAGACCCCATAACCAGTCACTGTCTAATAACACGGCTGAACACTCGGCTCGGACAGGGGTCACCAGCTGTTGGGGCAGCGCCGATTCAAGCCAAGTAAATTCTTGTGGCTGGTTATAGACCTTTATTTCAGTGCACTGCAAACTCTTTCCGTGAAAGCTTTTTCTTAAATTCCACCCCCTTCCCAAAGGCCCATCCTATGGTCAGCCGGCAGTGTTGCTTGCGGTTTATGTGGCCCAGCAGCTGCATCATCTTGTCCTGCAGGTCTGTTTACAGACTCTATAAATGCAAACACTTTCTCCGGTTAATGAAGTTTTTCAAGCATGTCCTCTGAGTTTTATTTCCACACTGCCTTGAGCTGTCATGAGAAGAGTTTTTTTCTTTTCATTTTTTTTTTTTTTAAGGAGCAAAACACTCACTCCCAGAGCTCCAACCACACCTAGGACTACACTCTTTCCCTCAGGGGAGAGATGTTGGATGGAGTGTGTTTTTTTAACATGTCATGACTGAAGAGCTTCTTTCATGACGCCAGACAGGAATGAAGAGTGTTAGGGGTTAGGGTTTAGTCATCACCTTTTCTCCTGTTTACGCTTCCCTGAGAGCCTCTTGCACAGTAAACAAATTGTCTTTATGACAGAGTAGTTGCAAGATTATTTAGTCAGCTTATTTTCCTACCTTTCAACTAAAACATCTGAGCAGAAAATAAAAGCCCACGGGTGGCGAAACCACCCCGTAGCGACATCCTTAAAAGTAATTTTTTTTAAAGTAGCGTGTAATTACATGAGAAAGCAATTATCATATATACACAATGTGCTTTAAATTTTCTAACTGTCAGAAACAGAGGATTATTGAGGTGGTCTAAATCTCGTAAATGATTGACAGCTTCCCTTTTTGGTTGCGTGTCAGAGGCCTGCACCTCCACAGTGGTTCATTGATGCTTTGACCACTACATCCACTCAAGGGAAAACAGAATAGGTGATCATTTGATACCTCCAGTGAGACAGCCCACCCTGTAGAGAGTAGAATAATAGTCAACACAGTGAGGACCTCTCTGACTGAGCAAACAGTTGGTGATTGTTTCTTCAAGTGGCCCATTATGAAAACAGCATGTGGATGGGAGAGTTTGTTATCGTGAGTGCACGTGTCTCACTTTGAGGCAACAATTATTCTTGATTGAGATCTTAATCATAAACATGACACAATCTGTCAACTGTTCATGCCATACAGCAGCACACATAATAAAAACGCCAAAGACAGCGGCTGCATGAAGCGTCATATTAGAGAGAGGTTGCGAGCTCAAGTATTTTTAAGCAAATCCTGATTGTAAATTGTAGAACTGGAAGTATTTCTGTCAAAATTTGGTATTTGGCCCTTTTATCGCCCTCGGTTTAAAGATGTGGTTCAGGGCTTGCACAGTGGAAAGCCTTCAGGGCCGAGCTGTGTCCACTTTTCAGCACTGGCTGCTACTGTTCCACCGGCCCGCACACCCAATACATAACTTCATTTACCACGAGTGTTATCTTTCTCTCTCACGGGAGCCTAGAAGCCAAGGCCAATCTTCTATCCAATGGCAACATCTGTCTTTTATGAGCAAATTTATTTTTCTTGCTCACTGTTTATTTAAGGTGTGTGTATCAGTGGGTGTGTGTGCTTTAAAAAATGGGTATACAGATATGTGCAGATACACAAATGTAAACATGAGCCTTTGACCAATAAGGAAAACTGGGCTATTTAGATGATATGAAGTTGACGCTTTAAAGATATTTAAATATTCACTTTCTGGTACAGTTAGATGTGAGGTTTAGCTTAGCTTAGCAAGGCTGCAGCTGGACTGGGCTCTGTCGAAATACAGCAAAAAATTTACAAAATTAGTGGTTTCAATTAGGAACACTGACTAGGCTACAGCTACATTTTTAATCTAAATGAACATCAGATATGATACAGGTGAGCACTTGGAATTGTGAAAGCATGGCATCCATTTTCAGTTTAAGAACTCATTGTGGCAAAAGCCAAAGCAAGAGTCATGCTTTTGGCTCACCAGGATCCCCCGAGCAGATGTTTGTTTTTGCTGCCTGATTTGTATTTGTGGAAAGAGTTTACAGTAGCAACCTGACTGTATGTCTGTTAAATGCTCACTCCAGTAGACTCATTGACTTGTGGTAAGGCCGGTAATGGCAAGTCTAACAACCCATCCATCCATTACTGTAACTACACGAGCCGGGGGATGGGGGACCTGCAGCCCATCACAGCTCACACTGGGAGAGAGGCAGTAACAGGGCTGACACGTAGAGACAGATGACCTTTCATGCTTACAATCACACAAATGTGGGCAATTTAGCTAAACTGCATGTTATTGGACTATGAGAGGAGACCAGAACACATTTGAACCTGGAGCTGCAGGGTCATATCCAGAACTGTCTCATCATTGTCTCATATCCTCTCAATCTAACTAAAGCCTAAGTTGTGGAAGAAAAATAAATAATCTTGAATAGATCCATGTTTTCATGCCTTGAGGGGAGGTTAAGCTCAAGTACTTTCTCTCTCACTGTAGCCTGCAGCCAAAGGTCCAAAAGTCAAAGTGGACAGAGGGGAGCAAACTCTCCATCTTGCCTTCACATGACCTGCAAAGGCATTAACCTTGGTAACCTCAGGAGCCAAACCCTCGCCTTTGACTATACAGAGAAGGTGCAGATGTATTGGACTTGACATCTGCTTGTCAACACATCTCTAAAACGGTCTGTTTTCAGTCTCACATCCGGATGGGCCCCCTAGACAAAACATCACGTAGGATTTGTGTAAAAGCTATATGAGGGTATTCATATGACGGAGGAGAACAGTGATGTCCGTCCTTTGTGTGGTGAAAATATCCCTCCCAGATGATGCTCAGAATACAAATTGGATTTGGGTGGACATGTTAAGACGTGGGCTTGATGCAGGGAGGGGAAGCGGAACGGTGTGCAGTCAGGGTGAGCTGCAGGCTGCCCCGCGGTGCATTCCTTCAGCTCATGTGCAGCCAAAACACTTGATGAAAAGTGAAAGTGCAGTGAAGACTGAGCATTTTCCCAAGAATGATGCTCTGTCTGTCATTCTGCCTTTCCCACTGCCCTTGTCCTCCCTTTTTTATGTCTTCGTTGCCCTTCCCTCAGGACATTCATGTGAGGACAGGAGTGGTGGTTGGGCTCCACCTTTGACCTTGGTCAGGTTCACTGCGCAGCAGTTTGACAACCAGCTAATTTCCATCTCACACTACTGTGAACTGACTGCTCTCTCTAGCTCCAGGATTAAGGACATCTAAAATGGTGATCTGATTATGTTTAAAAGATGTATTGCATTGCAGGGTCATCCTATGTTACATTAATGAACTCACTCAGTCGTCTTTACTGTTACAGCATGTTCTCAAACAGTGAAAGGCCAGACTGGGTGGCTAAGTGTCTGAGCTTTTTATATTGTGACACTGGTCAGTCATTACTGACATACAGAGCCATCTCAAGTTTGCTGTGAGTCCATTTTCTACACCCACTTTCAGGTTGGAGCCTGTCCCAGCTGTCTTCGGGTGAGAGGTGGGGTACACCCTGGACAGGTCACCAGTTCAACGCAGGGCTAACACACAGAAACAAGCCTCTGGCCAGTGTAGAATCATCATTTAACCTATCAACCTAATCTATCAAACTCCGCACAGAATGGCCCCAGCAGGTT